CTACATAGCATGTTTCGAGGCATTGGCACAGCTTGCACTCGCCCATTGCTCATGGGCTCTCCTTCGGCACAAACACACGCGCTTTGTGCTTCCCAGCGCCAGCGACAACACCTCTGCTGAGAGTGGCGTCAACCGCCTGTTTACGACAACAGAACCGCTCAGCACCTTCTTGCGCCTTGCCGCCACCTGGGCGCACCTGCACCGCGTCCAGTTCCAAGTCGAGCACTTGGCCGGCGAAAAGAACACGTGGGCTGACGCACTCAGCCGCGGACGCCTGGCCTTCATTAAGCACCGCAGTGCCGAACGCGTTCGCATCAGCCTAGCGCAGCTTGCATCTGCTTCGCACACAGTTTCACTTCGAGGGGAGGAGAACACCTTCCCCCCTCGCCTCTGCGAGGCCCAGCGCAGCCTACTGCGTTGATTCGCTCACCGTCGTGAACCGGAAAAAACTCTGCATCAGAGCTTTGCCACTCGCACGCCTTGTGCTCTGGCACTTTTTACTGCTTCTCCATGTCCGCCTCGACAGGTCTCCTTCTACATCCTCGTGCGAGGGGGGTTTCTGAGCCCGCGAGGCAGAGGATGCTGAAGTCGAACTAAAGAGGGGGAAAAGAGCTCGGCAACGCACTGCCCCGCTCCTCCTGTTACTGGGCATCGCATTGCCTCGCACCGACTTCAAGCATCCTTCGCGAGTAAAATGAGGTGAGCGCTTCCTTACTCTGTTCTGCATTGCTCAGCAAACTCACAGTATTCTTACTGAGAACGCTTGTCGTGAGTTTGTTGTTTTGGTCGACAGTGTTTTCGGTAAGTACTTGAGCTTGCATTGCTTCGCCTTGCGCCGCACTGTTAGCTCAAGCTGTCGACCCGGATCGCTTCCGATTTTAGCTTTTTCACCCACCCTCCACAACCCGGGGGAAAAGAGCTCGGCAACGCACTGCCCCGCTCCTCCTGTTACTGGGCATCGCATTGCCTCGCACCGACTTCAAGCATCCTTCGCGAGTAAAAAGAGGTGAGCGCTTCCTTACTCTGTTCTGCATTGCTCAGCAAACTCACAGTATTCTTACTGAGAACCTCGCGGAGTGCAGGCTAGGTCCGGCTAGGTTACGAGCCATGGCCACGCTTCCTGAGAATCTTGTGGCTCAGATTGTCAACTACATCTCTGGGCGCTCGCTGCGGCTGCTCTTCTGTGTCTACCATCTGATGCAACTCGGCAATTGTTGTTCGCAACTGATCCGCATGAGCGACGGGCAGCTGGCCTGGCTCTTCGACAGCAGTTCGCTGAGCCGGGTGTCTGCCTTCTTGGCGCAGCGCACCTTCAGAGGAGTCTGGGTTGCGACCAACTTCCAGTTGATCGTACGACTTGGCTTTCAGGTCCGCGCCACCATTCTACAAATCGATTGCAGGGAGGCAAGTGAGCTGTGTCCCTCTTTTGGGGGCTTAAAGAGACGGCTTAGGTTCTTTTCCAGTTGCTTCGTTCGCCGATTCTCGGCTACATGGACCCGCTGGCGACGTATGTGTGAACTATTACGCGACCCTTTATGGACCATGTTGTACTTGCCATTGCGCCAGAATTACGGGGAGCGGAGCCTGTAAGCGTGGTAGTGTTTGCACTTTCGTCATACTGAATGACTTTGCCGGCTAAGTCTGCGTGTCGCAGCTGAAAAAAAAAAAAAAAAAACCTTTGCACCAACATTACCAACACGGGGTCAAGATGATGGCAACCACCGTGGTTTTTGTCGTCTGCATCAAGATTGGCTTGAATGTTTTTTTCACAAACCAATAAATGCACCCGAAAAATTTGCTAGACACATTTGGCTTTGTGTAGAACACGCAACATGGTTGCCGAAATTTGAAAAAAGGTTTGAAAACGGGCGCGAGTCTGTAGATCAGCTGCAAAATTGTGATGGACGCAATTGGAATCCACTGCGTGAGCAAATATGTCGCCAAGTCTTGCACATGCTTTGTTAAGACATGGCGTCAGTGTGTGGTGGCAGATGAACGTTATTGCCCACAGTTCTACATGCATTTTTGTCGTGTGCTTTTGGCACGTTGGCAGTCTCTGTGCGGGCTTTGGTTGAGCATGGTCGATTGTGGAACGTATGGGAGAGTTTGGTCTTTTTCATGGGTTCTTGTGGGTGTGATTTGGGCAAGCAGCTGCACGAGCCCAGCCAAGAATTGGGCAACAACTGTCAACGAAGGCAAAGGCAAAGCTGTTCACTTCTTCGGGTGCAACATGCTTGTGCGGAAAACATCGCGTTGCGGTTGAGCAGTTATGTAGATGAAGTCGTGGCTTTTTGGTCGTTCGAAAAGCAAACCCTTTCGCTTGCAAGTAAAGTCGGGGATTGTGTTGCACGCAAGCCTTGTGCCTGAATACAACAAGATATTATAGTGCAGTATTTTACCATATACTATAGTAGCTTTTAGTGGACGGGAATATTTTACAGTAAAACACTTGGATCGATTGGACAGTCCGCCTTCGCTCGGCAAGAAATGTATTCGGCATATGCTTAAATATGCCGCTTTTGATGACAATCAAGTATCGTGACAGGACCGATGCATCAATGCACATCGGGGTTTTCCACAAAGCTTACTATTTTGGTACATGTGGTGCGGTTTTCGACAGCTTCGACAATTAGACTTCGATGTTGTGGAAGTTTGTATCCTCTTTTGACCAGGTGTCTATCCACAGAAAGATTCCTTAGAATTTCTGTACAGCAGAAAAGCAAAATGTGGTCAGTTTCCATGACATGACGGCATAATGCACGTGATCGGTCAGAAGAAGCAGTTATATATGTCAGGAGTTTTGCTGGCAGCAGCAAGCAGTTTATTGTAGTGTTATAACGACAGGTTCCGCAGTGCCGGGCTGCAGCGATGTGTCTGCCACTCTGACCGGTAAGCTGACCAGTGATGCATCGTCACCTGTCGTCGAGGGCCGTTTTCACTTGTCGACCGATTGTCGGCATATACTATAATGTATTATCATATACCATACTATACGACAAGATAGCACAATATACTACAGTACACTACAGTAAACGATGCGCTCTCAAGTCTGCATCATGGTGGCCGTGTTTCTCGGCTCAGCTGAAATGTTACAGTAGAGATGCGGCGACTGACGTTTGCAGAGCATGCCCCTAGAGGAAGGTTCAGGGCTAAGCTTGCTTGTTGTTCGTGATGCGACTTTGACGGTGCTCTGGATTGAACAGTTTGAACTTCTTGCAACGAGTCCGTCAGCAGATCCGACTTTAGCAGCCAGTCGCGGTTGCTGTAGCTTGTTGTCCGAGGCCAAAGCTCCGGCGCCGAAAGGGGGAACATCAAAAAGTGTCGCACAAAGACACGCATGCCAAGCATCGACAAAAGGGGCCCTGCATCGGAGACACATCCACATAACATTTTTTCACGGGGTCGTGGCCTAGCTGCTCTGACATTCTGTGTTTGCTCTGAAACCCTAAACCCTAAATCCTAAGCATCGCAGGCCAAAGGCATGCTGGACTGGTGCATGAGATCGGTATTGTCAAGGATAGCTGCTTGAAGTGCATTTCTCTTTGCGGGCGAGAGATTCCTCGTTGAGCAGGGACGACCCTTGTTAAAGGGTAGCTGACCCTAAACCATAAACCTTCAGGCTACAAAATACTGGGTCATAGCCCCTCGACACTGGAAACGGCCGAAACGCAGCCCGAAATCCCGGCCGACCTCCGAATCTAACATGCCGAAAGAATCTCAAAGCCATGCGCTGCATGAGGGTATTGTACTTGGTCCACTTGGTTGTCTAAAGGCGCTCTGAAGGGGTTCTATCAAGGCTTACTGGTTTAGGGGTTACAAAATTTTGAATGCCGAAATTACAGTGCCCTCAACTATGCGCGGTTCATGATAGCATTTGACTTTCTGGAAGACTTCGTTAGACTGCTTCTTACAAAGGCTATTCACAACACCGGAACACATGCTCAATGCACCTCCCCTCCCACTCGCGCTGCAAGCTTTCAGGAGTTGTTAAACGGCAGCTGGCTTCGATGTCAACAAAATCATGCCAAACACAGAACCCGCAACTATAATCCAAGCCCTAGGCCTTAACCTCAACGCATTTCGATTCGGGCTGAAAATTGAACTCTGCTTTGTCGTGTTTATGCACTCGTGTGTTTCACAGGTAACTGCGCTATCATACTCGTTTCTGATCAATACGCAACGACAGCTGATGGTAAGACGAATCATCTGCTGTACCAAGGGCTTTTTGAGCAGCAGTGCCAGCAAGCAGTGGCAGCAGTAGCAGCAGCAGCAGTAGCAGTAGCAGTGGCCGCAGTAGGAGCAATAGCAGCAGCAGCAGCAGCAGTGGCAGCAGTGGCAGCAGGAAGAGGAGGAAGAAGAGGAAGAGGAGGAAGAGGAGGAAGAGGAGGAAGAGAAGGAAGAGGAGGAAGAGGAGGAGAACGACGAGGAAGACGAGGAGGAGCACTAGCAGCGGTCCGTACATGAGATGCGTGGTTGCGGCCGTGTTGTGGAAACTTCGTTTCCATGCAGCTTGCAGAGTTGGATGTGGGAATCTCGTGAACAGGATCACTGTATGCGGTGAAAACGCCAACGTGTTGTTGGCGTCCAGATGACGTCAAGCAGTGTGTGGCAGAGAACAGTGCCAGATCATGTGTTTGCAGGTCGACACAAGACAGCTTCAGCGCGGTTACGTGTACGACAGTGCGCCGTAGTGCAGCAGAGAAAGAGTGACGAAGAGTTCTAAACGGGTTGCTATTCTGATCTGGCACACTAATCGAAAAGCATGTCTGCCGGAGAGGGAACTCCAAGTAATTCATCCCGGAGTCTTCGCAGAGGGCGGTGTCCGCGGTGTACTGTACCAGATTCGACAAGCCCGCTTCGCCAAGGCATGGACTGTTCGGTTTCAACTGTTCCATGACTATGTGCTGCTTCTGCTCTTGTGTTTGCAGCGTGCAAGTTTGCGGTGCTCGTTGATAGCCGTCTGGCCGGAGCCATTCCCGGTTTGTTGGAGCCATATTGCGATGCAGAAGATGTGGTCCCCACGATCCTGCTGGGCCATGTGGCCTTGAGCTCAGACTCGAGTTTTGGATAGCCCAGCAGTCGACTAAAGCTGCACACCTTGACTGTCAGGGCAATAGCCACGGTGCCCCTCACTGCTACAATGAAGCTGACGCAGGCACGGCTTGTAGCAGTTGTCATGAGGGTCTTAAACGTAGTAACTGAGTAGTGGGGATTGCGGAGACTTGCTGCAAGGCGCCTTTGTGTTGTTGCTCCGAGTTGCTCCCAGCTACACCACTGACCTCAGCCAGTGCAGGAGCTGAACACTTCTGCCATGAAAGCGGAGAGCATCGTCTCCAGTTACTCCTCTAAGGACTCCTCGCACCGCATCAATGCCTCATGGGGATTCATTGGGGATTTTGTGTCGGATGTCGCGGACGAAGTTGGTAGCACCGTCGACATGCTTGTCAGAGCAGGCTCCTGGGTGGCAGCTAAAGAGAGAGAAATCCGGAGGAGTTCTTGGGTTGGTGATGCCTGTGAGCCACGTTGTGGACATTCCGAAAGCAGCTTAGGTTTGACTGTCGGAACAGTTACTGCCAACGCCGCCGTGGTGGTCGGGAATCAGTACATCAGGAACCCGACGCTGCTCTACCAGGACCTGTCCGGCAGCATCAAGGACGCTGTGAGAAGCATGAAGAGCGGGACGTTCCCGGCGATGCCCGCACCCCTAGAAGACTTTGCCCCGGCTGGGCAGCTTATAGCACAAACGGGGGTGCGCCTGCGCGGGGTCATGCTGGAGCACGCGAACAAGATGGCCGGTGAAGGGCGCAAACTGGGTCTTGAAATGGGACATCGCATGCTTCAAGGATTGCCAATAACCGCTCTCAACTGCATCGTTCATCACTTCTCACTTTGCGAGCTTCTCATTGGCCATGAGTGTGATTGCAGTCATGGCAGAAGTTACGTCAGGCTCGGCAACGATGGCCAATGGGTGGAAATGCAGTGTACGTACACCAAAACGTCCGATTTTACGACCGGCTTCGGGATCACGGCATCTGTCGACAGTAATGGAGACACGGAGTCTGGGGCCCTGCCGGGGACTGCGAGGGAACGGGAGGCCATCAACGACTTCAATGATATGGTGGACAACATCAAGAAGTCCATGAATGGGCCCGGCGAGACTTGGCTTGAGAGCCTTTCAGAGTTTTCTTGATATTTCGGCCACTGCTGAGGCGATGCAAAAGCAATCCCCTCCTGGGTCATGCGAGGCAGGTCTGGAGGTGGCCATCGACGGAATCTCGAAGTTTACACCGGTCTTGTACACGAAAGCATGGTCGAACGGAGACACACGGTTCGATGTCCAGGGCACTGTGCTTGTATCCTACGAGACGATGGTTTCCGGGCAGGGTAGCTGCAGCTACACGCTCACGAGGGGCGTGCCGAAGAAACCCATAACAAAGGTGATCTGTGCCGCACCTTTCTGCGTCTCGGCTAGACGGCCAGAGTAGCTTGCTAAGCCGCTAAGGGTTCTGGCGGAAACTTGGGGCATGAGTTGTGCAGAGATGTTGCAGGGAAGCACTTCACTTAATTCGAAGGTCTTCTTTGCACCATTGCCAGTCCAAACTCCTTCTCGCCAATAACTACAAGACTACAAGTCTTGGCAGTCTTGGTTCTGAAGCTCTCTATGTGAATCTGTCATGCTGTCTCAGGCATCTTGATATCGCTTCAGATGGTTGCAACTTTGGTGGGGGAAGGCGTCCTCACCGGAACAATCCATATGCGAAACGATGCGGAATTCAGCATTCGTGCCCACGGAACGGTGAAAGAAGATGGTTCCTTCAATGTGTATGTGGACAAGCCGACCCTTACTAGGAACCAGGAGCGGACGTCCTAGGTATTGCGCCGTCAATTCCTGGCTTTCTTTACAGGGTTTGCCGGCCACTTGCAGCCTACACAGTCCCTGTATTGCCGCAGGCTCCAGGCCCTGAAGCCCGTACCACAACCGCCACCAGCCCTACAGGACCAGGTTGAGATGGCGGCGAGCGCAGCGGCATCCCTAAAATTGAGCGTGGGGCCGGAACTCGTCGCGACTCGGCAGGGTGCCGTTGGCTTTCGTGTTTTGCGTCGTTTGCATTCGGCTTTGGGCGAGTCTGGAGGGCCTGTGTGGTGACACTGTGCGAGAAAACAAGGTTTGGCCTATGCCTGGCATTCCTCTGACCTTCCACCCGACGCTCAATGCTGAAGCCAGAGCACAGGGCACGATCGAACACGCTCCGAGCCACTGGGATTGCCTTGGCGTGAGCGTCACTGTTGGCCGCCAGCCCCTTCCCCGCCCCGGGCCCCTGGTGGAGGTACGCTGCTTCTCGAGACGTCTGATCGGGTCTCTCCTCGCTCGAGCCCCAACAGCAGCTTCCTCGAGTCGCAGGACGGATGGGGTGGGATGTGACGGGATGTGACGGGATGTGACGGGATGTGGGTGGCAAGGAGGAGGGAGGAGCTTGAAGAGCCAGAGCGAAGAGTCTGCATGGACCGGAGCTTGCGCGCCTGAATGTGTATGGGTACCGGTATGGGGTACCTTCGTCAGGAGACCCGTTCTAGCGAGCTCCCTCAATGTGGCGCAGCCGCCTGGAGCTCAGCTTTTTGCGCCTTTGCGAAGGAGCTCTGAGCTCTGAGGCTTTTCGTAGCACGGTGTCCGGTTCCCTTTAAAGGCGGTGAGCGTCTACTCCGAGTTTGGAATCGAAGGCTTCGGGCTGCCCAGGGTGCTCAGAGAGCTCCCCGGCTTCATCAAGGAGAAGCTGAGGGAAGGCATGGAAAAGGGTGTGGAGGCCTGGAGGCGACAGAATCAGATCCACCACCATTGCTTTCCTGGTGCCGATTTGCCCAGTGCGCCCTCTATCGTGGCAGACATCTTCGGGGCTTTGATTCCGGGCTGGCCCCTTGGCTTCGACGTCCCCTCGTTTCAGCTGCTGCCACCTCAGAGGCTCTTCTGCAAGCGGGTCTGGGAAACGCCAGCCCACTTCGAGCAGCTCCCCTGCGCAGAAGAGCTTGGGTGCGAGACCGCTGGCCAGGGACCACCAAAGTCGGACGTCGTGGCTGTGCCACCGGAGCAAGTAGAAACGCCGCCGCAAGGACCTGCTCCCAGCGCACATCAGTGCCAGCATCTTCCAGTGGTGGGAGATCGGTTTATCCAGATCGGCAAGTTTCGCATTGCCGCCTTGGACGACGACTATCTAACAATCTCGCATCAGGACGCGGACTCTGCCAAGTAGCCCTGGCCTCACATGAACGGAACATTTGACAGCACCTTCAGGACGGTCACCATCCAGTGTCGCTTGTCGTCTCCAAGAACACCGCCGACACTTTCCCTTTTCATCGCATCCCTGCAGGTGATCGTGCGCGGGTCACCAACGCGGGGTCCATCTGGGACAGGAGCGCAGCTCAGGGTTGAAACGTTGAGCCGACGCCCCTAGGGCCCCACGGTAGCTGATGTTCGGGTGGCTTGTGTGGATTTTCACGGCAAGCAACTAGGGGGGCGCTGCTAGTTGAGGCAACACGTGGCCAAAGATATCGAGTTTGGCTTCAAGTACATCCAGATTGGAAAGTTCCGCCTCGGCGATTGGGAAGGGTGGCACTTCTCAATTGCGTGCCCTTGGCTGCATGTTGCCCTGCCATTTGGTTCTGCCAAGGGTGGTAGATGTTTCGAAGAAGTGGACGCAGGATCTTTCATGGCGATAGGGAGCGCAGCGGCGCCGCCCGCGCTGTGTGTAGCGCGTTCTCACTGCCGCGGAGCTTCGCGGTCTTGCGGGTGGCTCTGGGGCTCGAGGGGAGGTTCGAGGGTGAAACGGTGCGGCCCGGTCCGGCACAGCCGAGGCAAGAACCGAAACACCAGCTCTCTCTGACCAGTTGGAACTGAAGTGAGACCGGGTGCTTACGCGGGGAGCCGGTTGGTGGTCCGGGTTGAGTGGTTTCCTTGTCTGTGGCCCACGTTGCTCTCAGCGGAGGCATGTGGACACGAAGAGGACCTGCGTTCTCTGGAGGGACGATGGGCACATGAACTGGGACGTTCATGACTCTTGTCCGTTTTAGACAGGTTATTTTTCAGTACCAGCCGCCTAGCCCGTCTGGACTCTAGACCTGAAGCCTGAAGTTCAACAACGTCCTGGACCGCTTCGTGGGTGCTCCGGCGGGCATCAGCATTGGATGGAAGTTCCCTGCACTGTTGTAGAAATTGGTTCCCAGGTACAGGCTCTGAGGTTGTAGGCCTTTCTTGGCTCTCCGTTGATCTTCCACTTCGCCAGGTTCCTGCAGATTGGTAACTTCCGTTTCGGTGAGTCGGGCGATCATCTGGCGTTGCAGTTCGGGCGCTATCGAGATAACGGAGACTGGCAGCGGCGCACTCTTCAGAGCTTCCATTCTCTCGGTGGCTCTTCGCGGGACCGGCCCTGGGATTATCTCTCCGTGTTTAATCGTCCGGCGGCCGAGTGGCCATGCAAGAACATCGGCAAGCTTGCCTATGGAGAGTGCAAGATGTTCGGATCCTGGGGAGACCGCTTCCTCCAGCTCGGCAACTGGCGCCTGGCGGCTCTGGATGCGGACCACTTCAGCATCTCCCACAAGGATGGCCAGAACGCAATCTACAAGAGCAATGGCCACTTCTACTGGAAGCGCACGAGCGACAGAGCCTGGCGCAGGAGCCCCCCGGCCCCCCACCTTTCCCCAGACCTCTCAGAAAGCAGTGTCGCGTTGAGGGTCGCGTCCTTGCAAGAGCGCTACTTGGAAGGGCAGGGGACTTAGTAAGTAGGTTATAAGTAGGGTTATACTTAGGGTAACTCCATTTAGGGTACTTATAACTCTACTTATGACCTACTTACTAAGTCCCCTGCCCTTCCAAGTACTGGTAGCGGCCGCTAGGCTAGTGACGGCTACTGTGCTCGCAGGCCCCTCGGCTTTCCCCATGGCATCGTCTTCGGGTCGAAGTTCGTCCAGATTGGTCAGTGGCGCCTGGCCGCAATGGATGACGACCACATGAGCATTTCCCACCAGAATGGCTTGACCAACCGGCTCTTCGTGGCAATCGATGGGGCCATCATCGATCGGCCTGGTGCAACAGGAAAGGACTGGAATGCCTGGCGCAACGAGGACCTCGCGAGTAAAGCCTTAAGTGCCGGCATCTCCGGTGTGGGCTACGGGGACAGATTCCTGCAAATCGGCCACTTCCGCCTCGGAGTGGGGGAGTTTGATGATCTGCTCGTCAGCCACAAAAACCCGACCACTGGCTTCCCACGAACTTTCCAAGCATCTTGCTACGTGTTCGGTGCAACTTGTGAAGTAATCGGCCCGAAGAGGTTCCCACGATGCCACTCGCCCCGACTGCTGACCAAGGTGTACCAAAAGAGCGGAGACGTCCTCGGCCAGCAACCGGAGGAGTCGCACCATAACCATGTGCACCTGGTCGATCGTCATGCACAGTGGCATTGTGGCAACATCCAGACACTTGGGCGCCTGTGAGCTGCTGATGGTTCTATCCTAAGCAAGCGCGGAAGCATCATGCGTCGGTTCACGTTGACTTCCCCGGTACTTGTAGCCGTCCTACACCTACGGCGGCCCACATCCAGCCTCATAGCATCTCACAGCCAAATTGCGGCACAGCAACATCACGCTGCCCAAGACATACCTGACTAAGACACAAGCGGATTGCATCAACAACAGAGTCCGCGTCTTTTTGGATGCCTTTTTGTTTTTGTTTTTCCTGTTCCTTTTTCTTGGACCTCCAGTAAGGAGCATTCTCGGCTCATGCCCTGGCATCACCGCAGGTGGCGCACGACCAAGCCTTCGATCCTACCCAGAGACTCCAATACCCCATACTTAAGGAGTATACCTTAAATTATAGTAGGATCCCCAATATGTGTTGAGGTATATATTCCTTAATTAAGGGATATTGGAGTCTCTGGGTAAAGCTGTAAGGCACTGTAAGGGTTTTGGCTTTTGCTAGGACTGGATCCGCCGACTGAGAGGACCGATCTCTCGAAGTTTCAAGCAGTGAGCAGTCGGACCTGTAACCCAAGCCCCGCGGAAATCCCAAGAAGCCCAAGAACTAACCCTGAACCCTGAACCCTAAACCCTAAACCCTGAACCCTATACCCTAAACCCTAAACCGAGTGAAGACTTCCCGTCAGGGTTCTAAGCGAAGTCCCAGAGGCAACGGCTTCATACAGTTGGGCTCTTGGCGGCTGGCAGCGATTGACTCCTGGGAGTTCTCGATCTCCCACCTAGAGCTGACGCCCATCATGAGCCTTGGAGCGGATTCCGCAAGCTTGGAAGTAGGAGCTAGTAGTAGTAGTAGTAGTAGTAGTAGTAGTAGTAGTAGTAGTAGTAGTAGTAGTAGTAGTAGTAGTAGTAGTAGTAGTTCAGCTGCGGGATTTTGAAAAGTCTGAGGAGCTTCACCTCCGATGGGCGTATGCACCGCCATAGCGGAACAACCAGCTGGGATCGTGAAGCCAGGTACGTGGCCCCCGGGGAGTTGGGGGAGGTCACGCTGGGTGATCGCTACATCCAGTTTGGTAAATACTGGCGCATCGGCCAAGCGACTGATAACGACTTCTCCATCTCTCATGTCGATGGCAAGGTTCCGGTGGTCTTCCATAAAGATGGAGTGACATATCCCCACGAGCACAGCGGCTTCGACTATGCCCGCTACAATCTTTGGAACCCCCCCCACGAACCTTCCCGCCGCCACGTCGGTGAACCTTCAGGCATCGGGTTTGGTGATGGCTTCGTTCAGATCGGCGACTTCCGAATTGGAGATGTTGATCATGCGCGCCTGTCTGTCGCAAATGCGAAGACTCGGAGGACGAGCGAGACCTTTAAAAAAGATGGACATACGGCGGACAGCGGCTCAACAGAATGGACAACCCTGGGGCGGCCGTTCCATGATTGCCAGGTCATCCCCTACAAGGATCGGAACTTCACGACGTCGCCCGTCGCCTTCTACAACCCATTACATGGGCGCTGGCTACAAATGCGCCTAAGTTGCATCCGGGTGTTGATGTTTGTTCCACACAGCCATTGAGAACTAATTGAAGAAGGTGTAAGATCCGCGATCGTGCCCAGGAACAAAGGGAGCACCGACATGAGCGCCAGTGCTGACCAGAGGGCACACGGTGGGCCTTTCTCGTTGCGGCTTCACTGGACCTATGAGCGCTTCGCGGTTGTCGACGTCGGCAACGGGGAGATCGGACTTCACAACACCCTCAGCAACCGCTTCGTGAAGATGGAAGGGTCGGAGATGATGGTCAGCTCGGTCAAGGCGGGGAGCCAAATCACTGAACCTCCAAACCGACCACAACAGAACAGCCAAGGACGTGGACGACTTTGAGGCGTATTGGGATCTGGAGCGCTTTCGCATCGTCGATGGGGGAGACGGAATGGTGGCGCTCTACCACCCGCGCAACAATCGTTTCGTCACCATGCAGGCGGACGGACACGTCAGACCAAGCGGCATCCCGCCCGACGGGGCAAACCTGCCTGGCGATTGGTCATGGGAGCGCTTTTACATGATGCCCGTGAGAAATTTTCTCGAACCCGACACGCTTGTGGCCCTGCGCCCTGGGTGCTTTTGAGCTTTGTCTTCTCCTTTCTGCGCGTTCGTGGCTTCATCTTTGCTGCTTATCCCAGTGCCAAGGTACAGCGATGCTCACGGCCGCTTCCTCCGCATGTATGACCATGGGGGTCACTGCGACATGGACAGCAGCGCATCTGGACCAAGCCTCCCCGACGCTTGGACGTTGGAGCGGTTCAGAGTGGTGGATGCAGGCAATGGCATGGTTGCGCTGCACAGCCACGCCTACAATAAGTACGTGCTGATGGACGACCACTTTAACGTTGGTTGCAGTGCTCACTCCCCGACCGCTGCTCGGACATGCACAGACGGATTTCTGCAGTGTGTGTGGCTGGAGTTGCCAAGATTAAGATGTCGTGTTCTCGGCAGGGAAGCAGCGAACTCCCCAACCACTGGGGCTGGGAGGCTTTTGTCCCTGTTCCCATGGCCTTTCATGCGCACCATCTTGAGATCGCCCTGTGGCATGCTACTCACCACCGCTTCTTGTCTGAATTTGCAACAGGCCTTCAAGCCTCAGTGTTTGGATGGCAGGGTTGACCAGTTTAGACTACACAGCGGGTCGTCCCTGAACCCAAAAACCTGCGAGGAGCCATCCGGATGAATCACCACATCGTCGACGCGAGCCCGTACGCAGCCCTCCAGGACCAGACTTAAGGTACCGCAGTGGCCGTGAGGATGTGCTTTTTGAGCAGGGTTCCATCAAAGTTTATAGAGCCTCAACCTTGAACCCGAAACCTTGAGCCCTAAACGCTGAGCAAGCCTAAGCCCCTAAGCCCTGTGCCGCCGGGATGCGCCAGGACCTGGCCATGAACACGGTCATGCCCTGGGAGAAGTTTCGGGTCGTCCTGCTGGCAGACCCCATGACCTAACCGACGAGGACCCAGCAAAGCTGAGGAAACACAGCGAAAACGAGAAACACGAGAAGCGCAGATGAGGGACTCAGTGTTTCAGGTTTTTTGAGTTTACTTGGAAGGGCAGGGGACTTAGTAAGTAGGTTATAAGTAGAGTTATAAGTACCCTAAATGGAGTTACCCCAATTATAACCCTACTTATAACCTACTTACTAAGTCCCCTGCCCTTCCAAGTAGGGTTTGGGACCGTTTTCTTCGGGGTTGAGGCTTCGCAGCTTCGCCTGGACTCACAGGACCTCCCAGGGCAGCGCGGTCAGCAAGCACGAAGTTTAGATCACATCGCGTGGATTTTTGGAGGCATCGCCACACGCCAATCCGTAGGGCATGAATGGGGCCCCCGTCGCGCATGCACCCGCCACGGTTCGCGGCCGCTCGGCCGCTGAAATGTTTAATTGACCAGGGGTGCACCTCGTGCCATACCGCTGCTTGCGGCAAGAAAAGGCCGAGGACCACGGCAGTCGCGCCATGAAGACCTGTGCAGAAGTGGAACTTCGGGGTCTCTGCCATTTTGGTACATGTGGTGTGGTTTTCGACAGCTTCGACATATAGACTTCGATGTTGTGGAAGTTTGTCTTCGCTTTTGACCAGGTGTCTATCCACGGAAAGATTTCTTAGAATTTCTTGATAGCAGAAAAGCAACATGTGGTCAGTTTCCATGACATGACGGCATAATGCATGTGATCGGTCAGAAGAAGCAGTTGCATATGTCAGGCTGACGGTTGATGCATTGATGCATCGTCAGCTGTCGTCGAGGGCCGGTTTCACTTGTCGACCGATTGTCGGCATATGTTTGTGAATATACTATAATGTATTATCATATACCATACTGTACGACACTATAGCACAGTATACTACAGTATACTACAGAAAACGATGCGCGCTCTCATGTCTGCATGCTGGTGCCCGTGTTTCTCGGCTCAGCTGAAATGTTTCTGTAGAGATGCGGCGCCTGACGTTTGCAGAGCATGCCTCTAGAGGAAGGTTCAGTGCTTAGCTTGCTTGTTGTTCGTGATGCGACTTTGACGTTGCTCTGGATTGAACAGTTTGAACTTCTTGCAACGAGTCCGTCAGCAGATCCGACTTTAGCAGCCAGTCGCGGTTGTTGTAGCTTGTTGTCCGAGGCCAAAGCTCCGGCGCCGAAAGGGGGAACATCAAGAAGTGTCGCACTAAGACACGCATGCCAAGCATCGACGAGGGGGGCCCTGCATCGGAAACACATCCACGTAACACTTCTTCACGGGGTCGTGGCCTAGCTTCTCTGACATTCTGTGTTTGCTCTGAAACCCTAAACCCTAAATCCTAAACCCTACACATCGCTGGCCAAAGGTATGCTGGACTGGTGCATGAGATCGGTATTGTCAAGGATAGCTGCTCGAAGTGCATTTCTCTTTGCGGGCGAGAGATTCCTCGTTGAGAAGGGACGACCTTTGTTTAAGGGTAGCTGACCCTAAACCATAAACCTTCAGCCTAAAACTTACTAAGTCATAACCCCTAAACACTGGAAACGGCCGAAACGCAGCCCGAAATCCCGGCCGACCTCCGAATCTAAAATGCCTAAAGAATCTCAAAGCCATGCGCTGCATGAGGGTATTATACTTGGTTCTATAGGCGCTCTAAAGGGGTTCTATCAAGGTTTGCTGGTTTAGGGTTTTACAAAAACCCTGAATGCCGAAATTACAGTGACCTCAACCATGCGCAGCTAGCATTTGAGATTCTGGAAGACTTCGTTAGATTGTTTCCTACAGAGGCTATTCACAACACCGGAACGCACGCCCAATGCACCTCCTTCCCACTCGCGTTGCAAGCTTTCAGGAGTTGTTAAACGGCAGCTGGCAGCGACTTCAACCAAATCATGCCAAACACAGAACCCGCAACTATATTCCAAGCCTTAGGCCTTAACCTCAACGCATTTCGATTCGGGCTGAAGTTTGAACTCTACACAGGTTAAAGCCGTTGAGATGCGCTAAGGTTTACGTCCTAAGCCCCCAACAATTACGGCTTGAAACTCTACACCCACACCACTAAAGCAACCCTAAACCCCAAATTGCCAGCGCTTGCAAGAAGGGTGCTATCAGGGTTGTTATAATGGCACTTCCGGGGTGCTAGAAAGCTCCATAAGGGTACTTCAGGTGTTATAGTGAACCCGGTGGCCGGCAGGATCACGTCGAGCGCGAGAAGCATCGTCATGGGCTCGAGCAGGAGTCGTTGAAGGCCACGGGTAAAGGGTTTGGGGTTTAGGGTTCAGGATTTAAGGGTTAAGGGTTTAGGGGTGAGGGTTGTGTAGGTGCTTGAAGGAGGTTTTGTTGTGCGATGGTTTTGTCAAAGTTCTTCTTCTGCATGGGTATGTCTTTTACATTGCGCTGGTTGTGTTTACTATGAGGCTTCATGGAATGTATTCAGGTTTATATGTTCCTTTATGAGTTGCTTCGGAGGCGACGTTTATTTTGAGGGTGCGGGGTTCAGCATTTGGGTTTTAGGGTTGAAGTTTTGGCCTTTCAGTTGCTGTTCTCACCATTATCATGGTAGCGTCAATACAGTAGCGTACCCCCAAGTTGAAAGAAAAGCAACTTCAGAACTATATAGCAGCAACGACAACAATCGCACACTGCTACCATCGAACGATACTTGGTACATACCTCTGGACCTTAAAACATAATCCCCAAACCCGAAACTTCTCCGGAATAGAATAGCACGGAGAGCATCCGCAAAACCCCCCGCCTTAAACCACATCCTCGAACCTTCTGAAAATACGCCCTAAACCTTGATGTATAAACCTAGACCCGGAGCCCATGGATCCGAACACCCTTAACCTGGTCCCGAGCTCCCACCCCCGGACATATTTCACGCTCAGCCAGCAGCCGTATCAAACCCACCTGAAACACGTTGAGATCGCCGCACCCCTCCCTCTAAACCCTAAACCCTAAACCCTAAACCCCTGAACCCTAAAACCTAAACCCACAGATTCCCCGAAACAAAAATCGAAGCCCTCAGCTCCGAACTCCTCCTACCCCTAAGAAGACCGAAGCTCCCAACTCTTACGAGATGCGCCTGCAACCCCATCAAGCCCTTCTTAAGCCTCAACAATCCTCAACATCATCTTCTTCCAGGCCCTAAGCCCTAAACCCTTACATCTTAAAAAAGCCTCAACATCATCCTTTTGCAGGCCCAGCTCCGCAACAAGGAGAAGGAAGCCCTCGCAGTCCAGAAAGAGCTTTCTGTGCAGCTGAGGTGCGCTGAGACTTCAAAAGCCGTCAGTTTTTGGTTTCGAGTTTGGGTTTAGCGTCTCCCAGAGATTCAGAAACACTTCGGGATTAAGAATAATTAAACCTTACATCATACTACGGTTCCATTAACATTTCAAGGTGTGTTCCTGGGGGTTTTGCAGTGTCTGCATGCAAGAGCTGTGATTTGAAGCTATGGTGTTTCATTGTGCGGTTTAAGGTTTTTGCTTTAGGGGTTTGTCGGGCTTGCATAAGGCCTTCAATGCTGAATCTGTCCTGCTCTGCCTTCCTTTCAGGGGTGATGCCTGAGGACGGATCAGTCTCCCAAAGCTTCTTACGTTGGTTTTGGGCCCCAAACCCTGAAGACGAAAGGTGTGTGGCGGATCAGTCTACCAAAGCTTCTTGCGTTGGTTTTGGGCCTCAAACCCTATTGAAAGGCTTGTGGGGGTTCAGGGTGTAGGGTTTCTTAGCTCGTGATCTCTCCAGTCTCGGATTCATGTACCCGAAGACCTAACTGTGACGCTTTTTGCTCGAGGTTCCTGTTTCACAGCGAAAACGGCTTTATCCAAGAAACGTTTTTATGCCTCGAACCCCACCCCAACCAGTGCTCAACCCTCCATTCCCCGTGTTGACTCTTGTTTTTTGTTCATGTATGGATCTGCTTTGGGGTTTTGCAGCCTTAGACGCGCTCCAGCACTTGCCCCTCGAACCACAAAATGGGAGTTTCCGAAAATAGGGGGGCCTAATACTGCATCCTGAATAGTAGGATCCTTATTATAAGCACCCCAAAATAGGTACCCCTAATTCTCGGAAACTCCCAAAGATTGGCTAGAATTCGAAGGCCAACTTTAAGGCCCCCAAACCCGAGAAGCCAGAAACCCTACAGCCCAGAGACTCCAATATCCCTTAATTAAGGAATATTCCTTTATTAAGGAATATTCCTTAATTAAGGAATATCCCTTAATTAAGGAATATTCCTTAAATCATATAATGGATCCTACTATAATTTAAGGCATATTCCTTAATCAAGGGGTTTTGGAGTCTCTGGGAGGTGCGCGGGTCGATCCTACCAGCAGCTCCTCAATGGCTGCAGGGAGCTCCAGGCGAGAAGTTGAAAAGGGTCTTAGGGTTTTTAAAGGGAACTCCAGAAAGTTGGAATATGGTTTGTAATTTACCATAAAGGGTTTAGGATAACCATATTCCAACTTTCTGGCTTTTACCTTAGGGTTTAATTAGGGTTTAGGGTTTAGGGTCTTCCACAAGGAACATCAAAATTTGCCGAACTTCCTGCAGCTTCTATGTATATGTAGGTTTGTACCTTTTGAGTTGAGGGGCTTCGCAGTGTAGGTTCTTGCTGCATTAGGTTTGGGGGATTTCGTTTGATGTGGGGTTTGGGGATTTTCACTAGTCTTGAGGGGTGGTTCTCTAAGTTCTGGCCCTGATGTCCATTCAGGGATTAGGGTTTAGGGTTTAGGGATTAGGGTTTAGGGTTTAGGGTTTAGGGCCTGGAGCCTCCGGGCTCGGTTTAGGACGCATTTAATTTCATGTTAGTCAGCCGCAAGCGGATGATCATGTGGCACCGCTTTTCGACATGGACGGCAAGGCTGACAATGTCGAGATACATTGTAGTAGAATTAGAGTATTTGTATAGTATTGTTCTAGTATTACAAAAGTATCAATATAGTATTATCATACTATTAATACATTGTTATTATAGTATTGTCATAGTATTACTATAGTACTATTGTAGTAGTAAGCATTTTGTAATGTAGGTGTAGTAGCCCTCAGAGACCACAAGCTGAACGACCAGTTGTGCGGGAGCGACTACCTTGTTTACTTGTTTACACTAGTCGCGACAATAATATTAAAGTAGTATTAAAATAGTACTATCATAAAACTATAATAGCACTATACTAAATCGAAACTGTACATGCCAGGTGTCGTGCGGTATCCACTGCAGTATCACTTTATTTTACTCGAGCGAGGTACTGTTATTGATTGATTCGCGTTTCTATATGGGCCGTTGTACATTTGCCCATTCCTGTGCTGTTCCACTACAGAGTTGTATTGGTATGACAAAGTGTCAGCACACATTGATCATTCAGTAAGGCATACGTAAACAGTCCTCAAGAAAGTATATATGCAACTACAGGTGTGGATTCTTTCCATGTGCTCATTTCAGTCTACGTGTGTTTCGAGGTCTTGGACATGCTTGTGGTGTGTAGGGCCTGGGTGAGGGATGTGCTGTAGGTTTGACACCGAAACCTTAAATCCAAAGCTTGGAACCTGTTTCTACCGACACTCGCAGCCCTAAAACTTAAACTCGAAATCTTACACCCTGAACCCAGAATCTCTCCCTAAACCCTAAACCTAATTCTGTATGTGGCTTGTGGCGAGGAGCAGCTGGACGCTGAGAAGGCGGGCAAGCAGTTGTCCCTTGCAGTCCGAGGAGCACATGTTCAAATTCGGAGGGTTAGGTACAATCTGTGTATGCGTGTGTGAATGTGTTGATATTGATAGTGAACCATGATAAGGGTGATGAAAATGGACAAGTCACAAGAATGGCCGTATTCTGTCGCCATTATGGCAGTTGCGCTCGGGTCACTAGGGTACAGTAAAGGTTCTTTAATAATCTGGTTTTTGCATGTTGTTGGGGGTGTGGACAACCCTGACCTAACATTAACTCGAACAACCTATACCTGATTCTTGAGCCTTAAACGCCAAACCCTGAAAGCTATGAGCACGGAGCTCACCTTTTCGACCCTAAGCTCAAACTCCTACGGCCTACAGCCCAATCTGCGCGCAGGTCGCTCGCGAAAGAGACAAGCTGCCCTACATTGACGAGGCCGGTTTGAAGCCCTCAACTCCCACCCGCATAGGCGTCGGTAGACTTTTATCGTTTTGAAGCCCTTCAAAATGCCCCTAAACCCTAAGCCCTAAACTTAATAAACAAGAATCCTAAGCTTTCAAAATGGCCGCGATATCATGGGCCTTGGCCGGTCGCATGCCAGATCCGCGCGCTTAAAGCGCAGCTGAACAAGGGCGACAAGCCCTGGCGAGATGAGGCGGTGCAGGGGTTTAGGGGTTTGCTTAAAAGGGATCTATGAGGGTTCCTTTAAAGGGGTCTATTGTAGGGGTTCTTCAAAGGGATCTATGAGGGTTCCTTTACGGGGGCCTATTGTAGGGTTTCCCTCAAAGGGTTCCTTTCAAAAGGTACATTGTAGGGGTTCTTTAAAGGGATCTATGAGGGTTCCTTTAAAGGGGTTTATTGTAGGGGTTCTTTCCAGGGATCTATGAGGGTTCCTTTAAACGGGCCTATTGTAGGGGTTGCCTTAAAGGGATCTATCATCGTCTAGCAGGGTTCAGGATTTAAATTCAGGGTTTGTGGATGAAGGGGTGTCGGGTTTGGGGGTCTGAGGCACATGGATCAGGAAGGAAGGCGTGCTGAGATAGCGCAGTATTTCCAGATTCAGGAATGCAGCTTGACACATTATTCTTTGGGTATGTGCAAGCGCTCTGCACGCCACCGCAGGAAGATCAATGCTGACTTGATCAGCCGTTTTCAGGAAGCATAGGTGTCGATGAAAACGGAAAGAGTCCACTCTAAATCCTTGAGCTGATGAGCTGGTTTCAGAGTTTGACATCTGCGAGGGTGCAAAGCATTGCGCTTTGGGTTTGGTTTTGGACGCATTCTTCTGGGTTCTTGTTAAGGGGTTTACAGTATATTACCATCACAAGGAAACTGGTTTCAAGCCATGTTATGTAGAGTAGATCCCTGTTATGGTGATGAAACTTAAACTCCCTAGCAAGAACCCAGTCTTGCTTGAGGCTGCGGTTGGCAGGAGGCCAGGAACTTTAAGCCAGGGGTGAGCAAAGCTGGGGAGACTTCAGCACCTCTGCAGATCTCGAAGCGAGATGCCAAGATCCTGAAGCTGCAAGAAGCGGTCCGGGCCCCGAGGTCTTCAGCGCGAGGACGGGGTGACGTAGTAGTGGGGCCTATAAGGTTTTAGGGTATATTATACCATGAATGTAATAAGGAACCCCCATAAACCTCAGACGAGCGTGTTCGCAGGTCTTCACACCAGCATAGGCATAGACCTAGTTTAGGATGTTATGAGGGATGAAGCCCTGCCCCATCGAAACACGCCTGAGTTCTGAAGCTGGTGCTGGAAGCGAGCTTTGATTTAGGGTTTAGGGTTTAGGGTTTAGAGTTTAGGGTTTAGGGTTTAGGGTCTGGGGTTTCGGGTGAGGATTTCACACCCTGCTGCACCTGATCTTCGGGTGCCATTGTCCAAATTCCCTTCTACTACGCAATATGCTTAATCCCCTCACCCAAGCCCGGCCCCAGATCCGGATAGCAATACTCATAACAGTCATGGTAATAGTAGCGAGAGTAACCCTGGTCGTAATAGCAACAAAAACTACAAAAAACAACAATAACTACAACAATAACAATAATAACAATAACAACAATAATCACAATAATAACAATAATAACAATAATAGCAATAATCACAATAATAACAATAATAACGATGATAACAAAAACAACAAAAGCTACAGTTATCACAATAATAAGAATAACAAGAATAACACTAGCAACAATAATAACAATAATATACCATGACTATGACTATGATGCGAACCCAGGCCAACAACCAGGACATCCGCCTCAAGGAGGCGGTCGAAGCCATCGAGCCCGTGCCCGGCACTGAGCCAGAGATGCCTTCAGCTTCGATTTCCGGGTTTAGGGGCTTTGGGGGTTTAGGGCTTTTGGGGTTTAGGGGTTTAGGGTTTTGGGGTTTGGGGTTTAGGGTTAGTGTTGTGGGGTTTGGAGTTTTGGGGTTTGGGGTTTTGGGGTTAGGGTTAGGGTTTGGGGTTTAGGGTTTAGATTGAGGGTTTGGGGCTTGGGAGGGTTAAGGCTTTATCCTTCAGTGTCGTATGTTGACGTAGCTTACGGCCTACTTCAAACCTACCAGTGGTGAGATTTGAATACAGCCTTCATGTGATCTTACAGCGACCTCATAAGATCAGTTTCCATGACGTAGAGTTCGGGACTGGGAGCCACAGATCATACCCCAAAGCATCCCCCGAAAGGATGCTAAACCCGGGACCTGAAACCTGGAGGTTTAAAGGCCCCAAACCCCTAAACCAAAAAGGACTCAGATCCGAAGCCCTGAACCGAGAACCCTATACGGGGAACTCCAGAAAGTTGGAATATGGTTTCAGGGTAGGATACCCTATAATATACCATAAAGGGTTTAGGATAATCATATTCCAACTTTCTGGCTTTCACTGTAAGTTAATAGGGCCCTGTAAGTTAACCTTACAAGCCTAAACCCTAAAGGGTAAACCCAAAAGCTAAGCTTCCCCCAAACCCAGAAACTCAAAGCACTGAACTTTACTGAACTACCTTACCACCAAATAACCGACCTTTTTAAGGACTTATATAAGGAAATCATGTCAGGGAAACCTGAAAAGGTAGGTTCCCTAGGGTCCAGGTATGTAATCTACGAAGCCTGTGCAGCCGAGGCTCTTGAAGTCGACCCAAAGTCGTAGTTTACCCAAGGGCTACGGTCAATGTACTTATACATTAGGGTGGTTGTGTCAAAATTATGGTTCCTTTCTGGGTCCCTAATATAGTACGGCACCTAATATTTAGTGAACCCCAAAAAGGGACCCTAATTTTGACAACCATCCATCAGGGTTTAGGGTTAGGGTTGGGGCTCTGGCAAGGATTTTGATAAGGCTTTCGTGTGAGGGTTCTAGACTAGAATGGTTGGTGACGGCCAGAGATGAGCACCTTATCGGCTCCTACAATGCTAAGGGCTCCATTCACGATTTTAGAGAATTCCATAAGGTGTTTGCATGGTTTATTCAGGAAGATCAGGGTCCTTTTATCTATGTAGCATACACCACTTAGGCCTTAAATGGAAATCCTCTCAGTGATGCAGGTCTAGGAAGAGCTGAACCAGCTGGTGAGTCCGATTTGTCTTGCATGGGGTGCCCCCTAAACCCTTAATGCGGAACCCGCAGTCCCCAACCCTGAAGCCATTAGCCCTAAACCAGCAACTCTAAACCGCCTAAGCCCCCAACCCTCAAGCAAAAAAGCAAACAGTAGTTATATTGGGAGCCTGGTTTTCCGGAGGAGTTGCTAGTATCGATCCGAGGAACTAGTACAATCTCCAGGCAGCGGCACAGCAACAGCCCTACTTCGTGCTGAACTGTCGAAGCAGACCAAAACCCAAATCCCAAAACCCTTGAACCGTAAACCCTAAACCCTGAACCCAATCCTAAACCCCGAAAGCCCCAAGACGCCAAACCCCATAAGCATAGAACACAACCGCCAACCCCCCTCGGCAACACCTAACCTTAGACATTTACTGCAGACCCGAAGCCCCAGGCCCCTAAGCTCTAAACCCAAAAACCCGAAACCCGAAACTCAAGGCGAAAAGAGGGCGAGAAGAAGCTCAAGGCCGCAGAGGTGCAGAGGGAACAGAAACGACATCCGCTTTCGCGTTTGTGAGCTGTTTCATATGACTTTATTTTCAATAGTCAACAGTTGAACCAGCATGGATAAATTTGGTAACCTTTGCTCGTAGACCTACTTCTTGGAGAACTGCGGCCAATTTTGTCAGGAGCAACAACTACTTTTGCATTTTTCACAATCAACTCTTCATGCAGTCTCCGGTCATCGCATAAAGCCCTAAACCCTAAACTGCAGTTATCGATCTTAGCACATGTCCCATTTGGCCCTGCGCTCTTGGTGGTAATTGCTAATGATGTTAATTCCTGCAGTCACCCTAGCTGATTCGTCTTGGCTCTGTCTAATGGAGGTTCAGGGCATTCCTAAAATTCCACACAAGCTTCTGTATCGGAAAGCGTCGAATCTCGTGAACGTGGCTTCAGTGTGGGATGGAGTGGCATGACAACTAAAGTGTGAGAGGTGTGTAGAAATATCAGCACGAGACAGTACGAGCAGAACCATGTTGGAACAGTCGTGTTCTTTGAAGCTCAAAGGAAGGACAACTTTCTCCTTCTTGGTGGCGCTGCAGTCGTTTTAGCAACGCTGAGCACAGTGTTCGGCTTTTTGATCGCGGCTAGAGGCAAGACAGGGGCAAACAGTAGAGGACGGCTCAAAGCATCTTTGTTCTGGGCCGAGGAGTGTTGGGGGACCCTAACATAGTACGATTCCCATTCTTAGGACCCCAAAATAAGGTACCCCTAGTTTTCGGAAACCCTATGTTGAGGTCCGGGGTTCAGGATTTCGTGGTTCAAAGGGGGGAAAAGGAGGGACCCTTAGTGGGGACCCCTACCCTATAATGGGCTATAGAATGGGTATATAATAGCTATATTAAGGGTATATAGCTAGGGGTCCTTATCAAGGGTCCCTCCTTTTACCCTTGGAGTGGTGTAGCAGGGCTTTTCGTGGGCTCTGGAAAGCCATGTTCCTTGGGTGCGGCAATTCATCTTGGTGTTCCTTCCGATCTTCGCACTGCGACTGTAGGGTTTAGGGATTTAGGGCTTAGGGCTCAAACTTGCTATTGTAAGTGGTCACGTCGTCGCAAAATACAGAATCTGGAATAACGAGCAATGATGTCGCCGGAGATTTACTATGTAAATATACCATGATGCTCATTATCAATGTCCCCTATGGTTGAACAATCAATGCCCATCTATTGCAACCCTAGAAGCCCTTTTAACACCTCTTCGAAAAAAACCTTGTTAAAACGCCAGAAACCCCTCCCTCTTTGCCGAGAGAACCCAAAACCCCTTAATTAAGGAATATAGCTTAAACCATAATATGAAGCCCCTTATAACTTCAGGTATATTCCTTAATTCCCTGACAGAACCCTTACAGATCCCTTGAAGGAGCCCTTTTTAAGGAACCCTAGGTATTCCTTAATTAAGGGGTATTGGGCTCTCTGGGTGCAGGAGCGGGCGGAGAGCATCCAGAAGGAGGTCACCTACCTCCAGCAAGCCTTGGAGGAGGGACCCTTAGTTTCTTAGGGTTCTTTTACAAGGATCTATAAGGGTCCCTTTAAAGGGATCTATAGGGTTGAGGGTTTAGGGTTTAGTTTAGTCAAAGAGGAAAAGGAGGGACCCAATAATGGGACCCCCCTACCCTTTCATGGGCTAGAAAATAGGTTTATAATAGCTATATTAGGGGTTTTTTACCTAGGGGTCCTTATTAAGGGTATCTCCAGCAAGCCTTGGAGGAGGGTTTAGGGCTTAGGGCCTTAGCCTTCAGGGTTTTCGGGCTTTAGGGTTGAGGGGTTCAGGGTTTAGGGTGTTTAGGGGTTTAGGGTTTAGGGGTTTAGGCTTTAGGGCTTTCGGGCTTTAGGCTTTAGGGCTTTAGAGCTTTAGAGTTGAGGGTGCAAGCATCTGTAACATATGCCAGGAGCTTGGGGGCCTACCCGGCTTATCTTTCTGTAAAGTTCAGGGTTTAGGGTCACGGTTTAGGGTTTATGTTTTAGGGTTTAGGGTTCAGGGCTTAGGGTTTAGGGTTCAGTGTTTAGGGTTTAGGGTTTAGGTTTTCGGGTTTAGAGCATCGTTAAGAAGGGCTTAGTGTTCCGGGGCTTACGGGGTTCCGGGATTTAGGTTGTCAAGGGGGTTCCGGGTTTGGCAGTTTAGGGGTTTCGGATATAGGCAGTCTGGCTTTAAGGGTTTGAAGGGGTTGTCGATGATGCCAGCAACAAGAAGCCAGCATAGGAGTAGCAGCATCAGCAGCATCATCAGCATCAACAGCAGCAACAGCAGCACCAGCATCAGACGCATCAGCAGTAGCAAAAGCAGCAAAGATAGGAGCAATGAGATAGCGGAGTGAGATAGCGAGTATACGTGTACCTACGTATGTAGGCATGGATTGGTGTTCTGTTTGTTTTGGCTGCTTGCTAGGTTGTTTTTGTAAGCTTGCTTCTTGATTGTTGTTTTTCAGCTTGAATGTGTATATATGCATGTATATATGTATAGGCTGCGTATACACATATACATATATGTACATATATATATTCATATGTATACAGGAAATTACACTATCCATATAAACATTCCCGTGTGCGTCTACAGACTTGTCTCATGCGCATACGTAGCAGTCAAGCTTGGTATCAAGACATAGCGGCGGCAGCCACCTGCTTGAGGAGACTACGGAGAAGTGGCGAATCGATTACGAGAAGGCGTTGGCATGTCAGAATGTTCGAGGTCTTCCGACAAGCCGAGCCGGTTCATACCGGCTGTGAAGGATTTTTTTGCTTGTGCGAACCCGAACCCTAAATTCCTAAAACCTAAACCCTTGCAACATCCTCAGCCTCAAATCCACAGCCCTTGGTTTAGGCTTTTGCAGTACTTTAGCCAAGGGGAGCGTGAAAGCCTGGACTGCAAGTATTCCCAGACAGCCGGAAGGAGCCAAAGAATATTAACAGAAAGGTTAACTCAACTCATATGGGAGTTTCCGAATATAGGGGACCCTAATATAGTACCCTCAATAGTGGGATCCTTTTTGTACTGACCCACAATAAGGTACCCCTAATTTTCGGAACCCCCCCTTAAAGAACCTAATTAGAAAGTCCTCTGTATTGCTGTAAAGATTCCCGCATGGTCCATGTACCCAACAAGTATATACTTCCTTGATTCTTTTTGGCGGTTCGGGTTTTAGATCGTCCAAGGGATCTTTGAGAGGCTTCGATCCCCTAAACCCTAAACCCTAAACCCTAAACCCCAAACCCTAAACCCTAAACCCTAAACCCTAAACCCTAAACCCTAAACCCTAAACCCTAAACCCTAAACCCTAAACCTTGTCTTCCCAAAGACTCCAATACCCCTTAATTTCGGAATACCTAGGGTCCCTTTAAGGGAGCTATGAGGGCTCCTTTAAGGGTTCCTATAAGGGATCTATAGGGTTTAGGTTTAGGGGACTCCAATATCCCTTAATTTAGGAATATACCGTAAGTTATAGTAGGATTCCTAGTATGATTTACGGATCTGTTTGAAACGTGTTGTAGGATCCGTTTTGATTTCAGAATATTCCTTACTTAAGGGATACTGGATTCTTTGGGACTGTCGTCGGCCACGCAATCCGAAGCACCACGCACCACACAGCAACAAATCTAAAGCCCTGAGAGCAGAATAACGTCCAAAACCCGCAACGGCCCTAGTCTGTGGGAAGTTTAAAGCCTCAAACCATCTCAGGAGTTAAGCTGAAATCCTAAACTTAACAACCTGACTGCACACGGCCAGGATTCATGTCTTCGAGTTCGGGCTTGGGGTTTGCAAGAGCACTACGGTTGATGATATAAATCCGGCATTACCCATAATAAGGAATATACCATAATTCCCATAGTTTAGGGTTCTTAAGGTAATGCAGGATTTATATCATCAACAGTAGGAGTCTTCTTCGTTCAGGGTCAATAGAAACGGGCTCTGGGGTATTTCAGGTGCATGCTTTGGTCTGGTTTTGTCGGAAACTCCCGTTTTCGGAGCCCACAGAACTCCGTACCAAAAGGCTAACGCGACCGTACTTCTGGGTACATAGAGCCCCAAGCGGTTTAGGGTTTAGGGGTTTAGGGGTTTAAGGGTTTAGGGGTTTAGGGGTTTAGGGTTTAGAGGTTTAGGGTTTAGGGTTTGGGGGACATCGGTACTTATGACTGTATTGTCCCATGAACCTCCAACCATGGCTTACTGTGGGGTTTAGGGTTTCGGGTTTAAGAAGTACACCCAGCACCCAGTTTCCCAAGGCCCAGGCCCCCACTGGAAAGCTCTTTTCTATCTCCGAAACTAAACCCGGATACAAAAGTAGACCCTAAACCCTAAACCCTAAACCCTAAACCCTAAACCCTAAACCCCAACCCCTAAGCCCCTCAAGCTTTAACCCCTATATTCCTTAATTCAGGGATATTAGAGGACCCTAAACCCTAAACCCTATAGATCCCTTAAAGGATCCCTTTAATATCCCCCGGAAACCCTTGAAGGATCCCCTGAAAACCCTCTTCCAAGGGTAAAAGGAGGGACCCTTCATGAGGACTTCTAGGTATATACCCTTAATATAGCTATTATATACCCATTATCGGGTAGGGGGTCCCCATTAAGGGTCCCTCCGTTTCCCCTTTGATTAAACGAAACCCTAAACCCTATAGATCCCTTTAAAGGGACCCTTATAGATCCCTTTAAAGGAACCCTAAGAGCCTAAGGGTCCCGCCTTTTCCCCTTTGACTCTTCCAAACACTGCCGCATCCGAGCCACAGGCCGAAGTGGAGCACCACAGGGAGGCCGAGCCCCCGGGGTGCTTCAAACAGCGGATCTCCTTGGGGTTCTAGGAATACCGAGGCTTCCTTGAAGGGATCTATAGGCGAGCCCCGGGGTCTTAAAGGGCCCTTAAAGGATAAAGGATTTGGGGTTATAGGGTTATAGGATTATAGGATTTGGGGTTATAGGTTAGGGGTACATGGGGGTTTCCGAAAATAGGGACCCTAATATAGTACCCTAAATAGTAGGCTCCTATAAAAAGGACCCCTAAATAATGTATCCCTAATTGTTGGAAACTCCCACATGTGAGGCCGAGCCGGAGCTAATGGGGTTTAGGGGTTTTGGGGTTTAGGGTTTAGGGTTTAGGGACAAGCCCAAATGAGGGATCTAAAGGGTTCCTTCAAGGGATCTATAGGGTTTAGGGTTTAGGGTACCCAGACCTTCCAAAATTTGTTGAATTAAGGACTATTCCTTAAATTATACCAGGATCCATGATTTCAGGTATATTCCTCAAATCAGGGGATTTTGGAAGGTCTGGGTAGAGGGTCTTAGAGGTTGGGTTTAGAGTTTAGAGCTCCTCTGAGGGATCCGTTAAGGGTTTCCACAACATCTTCCATAAGGGGTTTAGGGTTTAGGGGGGTTTAGGGTTTTATAGTAGACCTTTGTTGTATAGGGTCAAATAGGGTTTCATATCTCGGGTTATGGCACTGTTATGTGTGGAAGGGTACCAACCCATACCTGCTTCTAGTTCTTGCTACCGAAATGCCAAAGAGCTCAACCCCGCACCCCAAAACCTAAACCCAGAATCCGAAAAACTTTAAAACCCCAAACCGCCAACCCACCAAGCCCTAAGCCCTAAACTTTAAAATCCCACACTCTAAAATTTTAACCTTAAACCTTGGACCCTGGATTTGAAACCCTACAAAAACCCGACGCTCTAAGCCCCCGAGCCTCAGCCCTCAAACCTAATTTCTCTGGCTGATAGAGTGGCCCTGAAACCTGGAATCTCGCTTTAGGGTTTAGGGTTTAGGGGTTTAGGGGTTTAGGGGTTTAGGGTTTAGGCTTTTCCGTGCTACTTGGAGGTTCATGGGTCTTAGGGGGTTCCTCATCCAGGGTTTAGGATTTAGGGCTCAGAAGTTCGAGGTTGCAATAGTTTACAGTAGAAGCAGGAAAGTTGGAACATCAGTAACCTCATGCCTTTAAGGTAGAGTAGAGGGAATCCCAGCACCAATCATCCTAAATCCATGTTCCAACTTTCTGGGGTTGACTGTAAGGGGTCATAGTTACTTAAAGGGTTCCTCGAAAAGATTTTTGTTTGAGGTTTTGAAAGGGCTTCTATAAGGGTGCTTGAGGGGTACTTGCAGGTTTATAGGACGTAGTAAGTACAGTTCAAAGTACCTTAGCTGGGATCACAACTGTTATGTGTTATGATCTGTATAGTTAGTTTTTTTCTTAACCTTAGTCACTAAGTTCCATGGACCTTTAAGTAGAGGGTTGCGGGAGGCTGAGGTTCGGGGGCTTCGTGTCCGGGTCCTCCTCCGTAGGGGCCTCAATATTGAGAACTGTGTTTAGGGTGTAGGGTTTAGGGCTGTCGCATAATTCAAATTGGTTTAGGGATTAGAGTTTAGGCTTCAGCGTTTAGGATTGTGGCATAATTCAATACGACGATGTCAGAGAAAGTTTATGGCTTCAGCTAACCTCACCGACAACCTTGCCACGAGGAAGGCATTGACGACCAAGCCCAAAACCACTAAACTATGTCATGCCCGAATCCCACACCCTCGACTGCAAAGCTAGATCTTAACCCGTCACTCTGTGGCGAGAGGTCATGAAGCTGCAGATCCAAATCAAAGAGATCGAAGCTGAGTGGCCTCAGCTCAGCTTAAATTTCGAGAAACCCGTAAATCCTAGGCCCCAAACCCAACGCCCTACTTGGAAGATCATGGGATTCAGTAAGCACAGTTGTAAGTACCGTAGTTGGAGTTATATTTACAACTATAGTTACCTTACGCATAACCCAACCTGGACCCTAAGGAACCTGCCTTTCTAGGGTCCCCTAATATGATTTCTTTATATAAGTCCTTGAAAAGGTAGGTTGCTTGGGGTTAAGGTAGTTACTAAGCTAAGTCCCATGAACCTTGAAGTGCAGCCTCCGCAGTCCCTCGAACTTAGGTGGCACTCTCTCAAGGCATATCGTTCAAGAGCTAGGTGTTGGCGATTTTGCAGAAAAGTTTAGGGTTCGGGGTTCCGGGACCCTAAGGGGGGCGGGGGGGGGGGTTAAGGTTCAAGGTGCAGGGTTTTAGGCCCTTGCCAGTATCGTGTGCTTTTTTCACGGTGATGCGCTGAGTCCTGCCGGTTGAGGCTTTTGGGGGTTTCGAGTTCAGACCCCCCTAAACCCTAAACCCTAAACCTTAAACCCTCGACCTTAAACCCTAAACCCTAAACCTTAAACCCTAAAGCCTAAACCCTCAACCTTAAACCCTAAACCCTAAATGACATGTTCAAAGTTCCGGGCACAGGAAAGTTTACGGGACAGGAAAGGTTGCTTTGCTGGAGGTGCCCCGAAAGCTTCCAGACAAACCGGCGCACTATAGGGGTTCCTTTAAGGGCTCCTTTTAAGGGATCTATAAGGGTTCCTTTAAGGGGGTCCTTACAAAGGGATCTATAAGGCTCCTTTAAAGGGGTCTGTTGCACGTAATTTCGAGCTGGGCTTACTTCGGACGGGGCTAAACCCTAAACCCTAAAGGCTTGTTCGTTATGGCTCCGGGTGAGCTCTGTGCGCTGCGAGACGTAGGTCATAATCATAAGACTGCGTTTAGGATTTAGAGTACAATCAGGAACCCAATGTATCCACGGAATCATGCTCTAACTACCAGGGTTTAGGTGTCGTGTCAGTGTGACTCATAATCGGCGCCACGACCATCGACCCGACGGTAGTCGAATGAACTTCCATTTTGGTTTCTCTCAAACCTCGATGCGGAGCTTTCCCCAATGGCACCCAAAGGACGACCCCGCAAACGTCTTGCAGTTGGTGTGTTGCACATAACCAACCAGGTTTTGTTTCTGGGCGAGGATGCTTGCCAACTTTGAGGATCTACTTCGGGCACCGGAGTCAATGCAGGTGTCCCTCGCCCTGCTGCACGGGGTCTCGAGAGGCACAGGTCCGTGTCCGCTGGAATTGAGCCGGCGCCAGGCTCGATGCCGTCTAGAACGGATCCCAGTCTGATAGCTCACGTGGGTGCCTGAACAGTGAGCAGCAAGATTCTCGAGGGTTCCCTTTGTTGTTTGTACCTCAGACTATTACAGCCCCCTAAACCCTAAACCCGATTAGAGCCGCCTAAGCCATGACCCGAAACCTTAAGATATTACGCTCTAGATCCTCAACTTAACACGCCAGTCTAGGGCTTGGGTTTAGGGGTTTAGGGGTTTTGGGGTTTTGGGTTTAAGGGTTTAGGAGTTGATGGCTTTTGGGTTTAAGGGTTTAGGGGTTGAGGGGCTTAGGGCATAGTAGGCGTTTGGGGTGCATAGGTTTAGGGGTTTAGGCTGCCAAGCCATGCCAGGTCCGAGAAGATAGCTGGGCCTTACATAAAGCAGATCAAGGACCCAAGTGGGAAGCCAGGGGCATTCAGGATTTTGGGTTTAGGGGTAAGGGGCAGATAGGAGCTATTGGGGATTAGGGTTTCGGTCCAGAGGTTCAGGATCTTCGGGTTTCTTCAGGAGCTTGGGGTTTCAGAAGGCAGATCAAGAAGCTCAGTGCGTGGTCTTAAAAGTTCCCCTTAAAGGAGAATAGGGACAACGTGAAGACCTTGATTTAGATTGTACTACAGCCTAGCTTCGTACAAGGCCCTATACAAACCTAGAGCACTTTGTTTCGTGCATTCAGACTGTCCTGAAGATCTTGTATTGCTGAACTTCTACCCCAATTCCCTGAAGCTAGGATTTATTAGAGCCAAAAACCACTAAACTCAAAGCACTAGGTTTTCATACCCCGCAACCCCAAACCCTTACTGCCACTAATGCTTTAATTCAAAAGACCCTAAACCCTAAAACGCTAAACCCTGAACCCTAAACTTTACGGCATTCAGCCCGAAGTCCTTAATGCCCCGAAACTGTTAAAGCTCTCAAACTCCTCAAGCCCGAAAGCCCCAGAGACCGAAATCCTTCAAAGCCTGCATAACTATGTCACACTGCAAGTGCGGAAAAACAAAACTTAAGCCATAAAACCTAAGCCTTAAGCCCTAGGCCCTAAACCCCCCGAAGCCCGAAACCCTAGACCCCTTAAACCCTCAACCCTAAACCTCCAACCTCAAAGCACCTTAAACCCCAAACGCTAAAACCCTAGGCCGAAGGTGCAGGGCCGGGGGCTGCATCAGCAAGCGAGACTCAAAGGGGAAAAGGAGGGACCCTTAATCGGGACCCCTACCCTATAATGGGTGTAATACTGGCTATATTATGGGTATATACCTAGGGTTCCTTATTAGGGGTCCCTCCTTCTACCCTTTGAGAGACGAGGAAGCAGGGTCAGGGTCGCCAGATGTGTGTGTTCAATGCCGGGAAGATATGGGAGTTTCCGAAAATAGGGGACCCTAATATAGTACCCTAAAGTGTAGGATCCTTATGATAGCAACCCCCAAGTAAGGTACCCCCAATTGTCGGAAACTCCCAAACGGACGCCTGATCTAGAGGTCTGGTGACGGGTGGCAGAAAAGGTGCTCCAAAAAAGGGACCCTAGAGGCCCTGAACCACCACTCTAAACCCTAAACCCTACTCCCTAAATCCCTAAACCCCTAAACCCCGTCTCTAAACCCTAAGCCCTAAGCCCTAAATCCCTAAACCCCTAAACCCCGTCTCTAAACCCTAAACCCTAAGCCCTAAATCCCTAAACCCCTAAACCCCGTCTCTAAACCCTAAACCCTAAGCCCTAAATCCCTAAACCGTGAAGGCCCAACACTAAAAGAAACTCTAGTCTAAACTCTATGCCCTGAGCCCTGAACCCTAAAGGCACTAAGCCCCAAACAATCCCAGAGACTCCAATATCCCTTAATTAAGGAATATACCTTAAATGATAGTAGGATCCCTAATATGATTTAAGGAATATTCCTGCATTAAGGGATATTGGAGTCCCCTAAACCCTAAACCCTCTAGATCCCTAAAAGGAACCTCTATAGATCCCTTAAAGGAACCCTCTAGATCCCTTAAAGGAACCCCTCTAGATCCCTCAAAGGAGCCCTAGGTATTCCTTTGGAGTCTCTGGGAATGAGGAGCTCGAGGTCCAGAAGCAGGGGCTGGAGGTCCAACTCTCCCAGGCGGCGTCGAGCACCAAAGAACTACCAAGTTTTCTGGGGGTTTTAGGGTTGAGGGTTTTAGGGATTTAGGGTTTTAGGGTTTAGGGTTTAGGGTTTTAAGATTTAGGGTTTAGGGGTTAGGGTTTTAGGGTTTTAGGGTCTAGGGGTTTAGGGGTTTAGGGGTTTAGGGGTTAGGGGTTTAGGGGTTTAGGGTTTAGGGGTTTAGGGGTTTAGGGTTTGGGGTTTAGGAAATCACTAGTGTTTTAGTTGGAGGGTCGGGGGACTTAGTAAGTAGGTAATAAATAGACTTATAAGTACCCTAACAGGGATCCTAATTGGGGTTATGATACCTATAAGTCTATAAAATAACTACTTACTAAGTCCCCCGACCTTGCAAGTAGGGTTTAGGGTTTAGGGTTTAGGGTCTAGGGATTGGTTTAGAGCTTAGGGAGTTTTTTAGGGGTTACTAATGTAGGAATCCGATCAAGAAACCTTGGGAATTTATTAGGCTTCCTTATATGACCCCAACAGAGGTAGTTATAGCCTGACTTATTAAGTCCCGTGATCCTCCAAGTATGTGATCTGCATCATACTTAGTACGACTTCGAAGGCGCTAGACTTTTCGACTTGTCTGGGGCAATTGTGGGGCTTGGAAGCCTCAGCGGCCCCTTGTAGGAATCTAGTTTATACAAATCCTGCTTTACCCATGATAAGGAACATACCATAATTGTCTAGGGCCACTAAGGTCATGCAGGATCTATACTGTTGATGGACAAAATCCTGCATTACTCATTATAAGGAATATACCATAGTTCCCATAGTTTAGAGTCCTTAGGGTCATGCAGGATTTTGTCCATCAGCAGTATCACCAACCGTAGGAATCTAGGTGCTTTAGGGATGTAGGGGCTTTGGGCTGCTGATACACCGCAAACTCTGCATCCTAGAGCCTTCAACCCCAGACGCGTGGGGGCTGTGAATAAGTCATAGGAGGCCAAAAGGGGTTTTAGCCTATGGGGGTTTAGTAGGAATTAGGGTTCCAATAGTTCATATTACGGTAGAAGCCGGAAAGTTGGAACATTATTATCCTCATGCGCTTAAGGTAAAGTATAAGGGATCCTAGCACTAATCCTCCTAAAGCCATGTTCCAACTTTCTGGCTTCTACTGTAAGGAGTCCTTACCCCAAGAATCCTAACCCCCCCTTTGGCCTCCCATCAATAAGTGGTAACATCGTCTCCAGAAGTCACAGATCTAATTGGGTGGTTGTCAAAATTAGGGTCCCTTGGGTCCTTATTATAGTACGGCACCTAATATTTAGGGTTCTCAAAAAGGGACTATAATTTTGACAACCACCCAATCATGTCTTCGTTGAAAGCTTGATTGAAGCAAGTCGAGGCCCCCAAGATAAGCCCTCATAGTAAACCACATGCCTTTTGGTATCCCTTACAATGATTAGCAACCCTTTTAGTATACATTACAGTTATCCTTTCAGAGCCCTTAACAACGAACCAACCTGAACTCGAACTGGAAACGATCTCTAGACTCTAAACCCGTGACACATACTTGAAAACAACATCCCTTATAGAAGCCCTTATAGAGCCCTTGAAGGGAAGCTTAAAAGACCCTGAACCCCACAACCCCCAACATCCAGAACCCTTCTAGGAACCCTTGAAGGAGGGTAATATAGGGGCCTAAATAAACACCTATACTATTTTGGGGGCTTCCTTACTGCAATTATAATATAGTGGGCCCCAAAACCCTATTCTAATTATCAAGGCCCCCATAGTGCTTTTTGTTGCGTTCCTGTATGGCAGCCTTGCAAGTCGCGCCATGCCAGGTGGACTATACTCCCTTCGAGAAGCAGGTCGAAATCAAGGTTGCCAGCCAAGTCTACCTGGACCCTAAGGAACCTACCTTTGTAGGGACCCCTAATATGATTTCTTTGTATACATCCCTAAAACGGTAGGTCACGTGGGGTTAAGGTAGGGTTTAGAGGGGTTGGGTTTAGGACGCTTGACAGGGCTTTATGAGGTAGTGGGGCTTCTGCAGAGTTTATATTCATATAGAGCCGCTTTTCTCTATAGGGTTTAGTAACAGGTGTTTAGGGTTGGTGGTTTTGGTTCAAAGGTCTTCTGGTGCGGTCGTCTATTACTTTGCAAGTATTTGTTTAGTGTGGGGTTTGGTTTTCCGTCTTGTGGTGCTACCGGTCATTAGACCTGAAGTCAAGCAGCCAGGAGGAAAGGCCACATTTTAGGGTTTGGGGTTTAGGGTTTGCAATGACGCACTCGTGGAGAAAGCTAAGCTCAACCAGCTAGTCCAACGCTGTTTCAATCGCACCGGCCTCGGCGACAATGACAGCATCGACGAGAATGACACGGCATACCTCTAAGAAGCCAAGGGGCCAAACAATCAGGAACGGACATACCAGCATCGGGTGAATGTCCAGGAGGAGTGTGACAGCATAATACGAGCATACGTCTTTACTTTGTAGGGCTGTTCATGAAGCACTTCACGGGTATGATTCGCTGCCGCGCCCGTCGGAGAGCACACGCAGTAGGCTCAGACATTGGTATCGCAACTGTTGACGATTATCTTGCTCCTACTGGTATTCGGCCCATGACACATGCGTGCAGCAGACATGAGTTAGAGCAAGACAGGTCCTAAATTACGTGAGGCTGGGCATTGATGTATTCAGAGAGCAACAAGCATTGACACAGAAACAAGTTGCGGGACTAGATTGTTCGTGTCTGTCGAAAAATGTAGCAAAGAACTTGAGCCTGCGGCTATTCGTCAAATTACAAGGATACTATTTGGAATCACATATGCTTAGCAGCGTGATGGCGTGTCCATCGTGTGTGTGTGTGTGTGTTGATGTGTGTGTATATATGTATATACACATGCACATATGTATAAGGAAATTATATATATATATATATACAGAGATACATATGTAGATATATAAGCATGTATACGTATTGTTGTGTTTCTTCCGGTCTTTGTTCAAACGGGCATATACGAACAGAGTTATAAAGATGCAGGTAAGTTACATGCAGCAACATGTCTCTGCACATGCTCTATGCCTACGTGGGCACCACGGTTTTGGTGTGATAGTACACAGACTTTTCTTTGCTCAACAGGTTTGCGCAGGCAGTTGAGTCTTGTAGGGATTAGGATTTAGGGCTAGTGTCGAGTCTACGGTCGGAAGTGGTTCTGGAGCAAAACCAAAGACACACACCCGCTTCCCACCCCAAAGTGTGTTTCTTTTTGCTGTTCCCCCCCCGCCGCGCCGTTTTGGATCAGATCACCGGACGGCTCAGGCCTTGTTTTTCTTGAGTCGTTTCCACAAACCGAGCGCCAAAAGGCTAGTGCTGATACTACCTAGGAGGTTGTGCCAGCTTTGCTTAATTCCAATTTTGGCTGCGCATTGTGCAGTATTTCGGATGAACCGAAACTGCTTACGTAGCCTCTTGCTGGAAATCCTTTATGCTGCACAGGAGAAAGGCTATGACAAGCTGGTGCACGACTTCCGCACGAAAGAGCAGACCCACAGCGACAACGTGGACAGGAGCACTCGGGTTGGTTTGCACCCTTCGTACACCCAGTCCATGAGGGCCTTCAGATGCTGGAAGTTCTCTTTATTTGGGCAACAACGAAGCCGAAGATGAAGATCGTAGTTGTTCTTCGTGGATGTTGATGTCATTGAGCAGCTGTTGTAGTGATGATGGTAAGGGGCATGAGATGATGACAATGATTCTAATGCTGACTGAGCCCGAAAGCCCCAAATCCTGGAAGCCTAAACCCGTAAAACCTCACATTCCCCACACTCTACGTGGATCCCGAAACTCTCAACGCCTGCATCTGTATATCCCAACTCCAAGCCCTGAAATCCTAAAGCTACAAAGCTCCAGAGACCCGAACGCTGAACCCCCAAAGTCGTAAGTCAATGCTGAAAGTCGGTTACAGCTTTACAGTTTAGGGTTTGCAGAATGGGTTTTGGGTATAGGGCTTCCAGCAATCGTAGCCCCACAGGAACCCAAAATGCCAGGGTAGAGTTCAGAATGCCGCGTTGCGCTGTGCCTGAAAGTCCTTATGTGCAAACATGTATAACCATATAATACACATTTAGTTAGTTAAACCAATGCATAAACGTAAATACCTACAGACATATGCAAATGGACAATTAGATAAATATGCGAGTTGAATTGATTGATGATTTAAGAAAGTAGAGAGACAAATGTATACATACAAGTATAACCAAAATGCTTTTCTATCTATCTATCTATCTATCTGTCAGTCTATCTACCCGTCCATCTTTACCTACACATCTATCCATCTGTCTATCTTTCTGTGTGTCTATGTCTCTGTTGATCTGTCTGTCTATCTCTCTGCGAATCTCCCTGTCTATGTAGCTATCTATCTATGTATCTCTCTATCTATCAACCTGTCTACCTGCATGTTTGAAGATATATCCGCAAAGCCTAGACCCTGAACCCTAAACCCAGAACCACAAGACCCTAAACTCTAAACCCTAAACCCTAAACCCTAAACCACAGAACTTTAAAAAACAACAACCACAGAACTCTGGACCCTACCTTGAGGGGCAGGGGGCTTAGTAAGTCGTTTGTAAGTAGGGTTATCATTGGGGTAACTCCTTTTGGGGTACTTATAACTCTACTTATAACCTACTTACTAGGTCCCCTGCCCCTCCAAGTCCTTTAAGGAACCCTTTAGATCCCTTTAAGGAGCCCTTACCCAAGTATCCAAAACCCCTGAATTAAGGAATATACCTTAAATCACATAAGGGATCTTATTATAATTTAAGGTATATTCCTTAATTAAGGGGTTTTGGAGGCTCTGGGTTCTGGCCCTAGCCCTGATGCCTTGGCAGGATGCGGGAAGGCTTCGAGGAGGCCGGAAGAGGGAGCTGGGTTTTTGTGGGGCTTTGGGATTTAGGGCTTCGGGATTTAGGGTTTAGGGGTTTAGGGTTGAGGGGTTGAGGGTTTAGAATTTTGGGGTTTTGGGGTTTGTGCGGTTTGTTTTCTTGGGGTTCCAAGGGTCCTATGACAGCGGTTTCGTGGGCCTAAACGCTAAGCCCTAAACCCGCAAACCCCCAAAACTCTAAAGCGTCAGGCTTCATACGGACTTGCCAGGATGAGAGGGTTTTACCCTGGGCATCAAAATAGCCCAAAAGCCTTATATAGTATGGTCTTTGGGCCCAAAAGCCTTAATATATGAGTCCTTAGATGCCTAGGGTTAGGGGTTGAAGGATCAGGGCTGAGAGTCGGGGTTCATGTTATCGTGGCTCCGCTGCGCCTTTACAGCCTACAGCCCCTAACCCCCAACCCGTGAAGCCCCAAACCTAGACCCTTAGCCCCTAGACCTAAACGCTAAGCCCTAAGCCCTCAGATCCAAACCCTAAGTCCCTAAATTTCAATGCTAAGCCCTAAACCCTAAACCCTAAACCCTAAACCCTAAACCCTAAGTCCCTAAATTTCAATGCTAAGCCGCCAGGTGATCCAGAAACTAGACCGAAAGCTGCAGGCCGTGGAGAAAGAGTCCATGCCTCGACTGTAAGGTTTTTAGGGGATATGGGGGTTTGGGGTTCAGGGTTTAGCAACACCCTAAAATCTAAACCGTAATGGAGGTTGTAGGGGATATGGGGTTTAGGGTTCAGGGTTTACGGCTTTCTGGTTCAGGAACTTCGGTGGAGTATTCAGAGTACACGTCTGAAGCCCAGTAAACCCGAAGCCCTAGGCCCTCAACCTTCAAGCCCAGGTATGAGAAGAAGCTGGACCCATGGAAGATCCAGGTCGCGGAGAAAGAGGCCCGGTTTGTCGGTTACTTGGTTTAGGGATTAGGGGTTAGGTGGTGAAGAGTTAGCGGCATGCTTGGAGGTTCATGGGCGTCAGTAAGTACAGTTAGAAGTACCTCACCTGGGGTTAAACCTAATTATAAGTCATAAGCATCGCTACCTCATCTATATCCCTAGTTACTAAGTCCCATGAACCTTTAAGTGGGGTTTGGAGTTGAGGGTTTGGGCAAAGGGAGAAGGGCTGACATTCAGGCCGTCGTTAGTTTAAGTCATGTTGTTTCGGCGTTCGAGTGTGAAATGAAAGTTATTTTGGAGCGGCTCGATTGCTAATCGCTCAGCCTTTTTGGTTGCCGCTGGGGTTGATACGCTATGACATTAAAACGTGACGACCTCTAATGTTTCCTTCAAAATCAACCTGTCTGCGCCTTGAGTTCGGGTTCAGTTTCAGAATATACGACTCAGGGACTATAGTGTTACAAGTAGCAAACCCAACATACGTCAAATTACAGCGGGATCCTCATGCAAAGTGCTTTTCACCAAGGGATCCTGAATTATCGAAAATCTTGTGTGAAACCAGTCCACCCCTACAACATCCTTCTTCAAAACCCCTTGTTGGAGTTTATTGATTCCTTGCACAACAACCTGCAGTGTATGTTGTAAGGGGTTGTACACAGCTTTACAGGGGGTAGAGGAGCATTCATGAAACTTGTGAGTGCACACTTGCCCCTAAACCCTGAACCCTAGTTGCAGTCCGCGAATGAACCTTGTAGTACAAATCCCACACCCTAAGCTAGAAGCCCTACACCCGAAACCCTAAACCCTAAGCCCCAAACCCTAAACCCTAAAGCCTTTACTCCCCGAAGACCCAGATCGGATCCCAAATCTCCAAGCCGATGAAGCCACACCAAGAGACTCCGAAACATCTTTTGTAGCTAAGTCTCATGAATCTCCAAGTACTCTAAAGCAGGTTCAGCGTCGGTCTGTAATTTAAGGCATATTCCTTCCGCAGATATAAGGATCCGTCTGTACTTTAAGTTATTTAACGTATAGTGGTTATTATATTGATCACTCTGCTATTTAGGGTAGATGCCTTAACAACCGGTTTTGGAGCATCTCGGTAACCCCACGTCCCGGTAGCCCAAGCGGTCCAAGCTTGACTGATGATTCGACGAATAAAGAATGGAATGGTAACATGCAACTGTGTGCATTTACATAAACAAAGACTTACATATACCAGTTTGCAGAAGAAGCCGGCACATCGTTACACATATGTAAACAGAAGTGTCAGCGAATAAATATATGTAGCTATGAAGGATGTGAATGAACAAGCAGGAAGAAAAATGTCTGTATCTATCTATATATATATACACATGTATAGGTACGTGTTTCTCCTGTATGTATACATGCGAGTAGTGGGCATCTGCACCCTTCTTAGCTGGCATGATCGTTTCACTTCTTCCGTTGTAGACGTAGGCCAATAATCTCTAAACCGGAAGTGTTGGCGAAGGGCACCGTGGATCACCATGATTAACCACAAATAAGGAGAGCAGCCATCAGCAAGAAGCCAGATTAATCTTGCAAGTCATTCTAAGCCCTGAATCCAGAGCTATGAAACCCAGACCCTAGACCCTAAAACCTTTAAACCCTAAGCCCTACCCTATAAGCCCTCACTAACCCTCGGCCCAGGAGGAAAACAGGAAGCTGCAGGATCGGATCAGGCTGATGATGGAGGAGAAGGCCACCACGGCTCCCGACGGTGAGGGCTGTAGGCTGACACAGGAACCTGATTAAGAGCCCTTGGGTCTTTGCAGTATTTGGATTCTTCATATGAGCCCTAATATTTCGGTGTTGTTTGAATGTGGGCCAATAGTATTTTTTGGATTCCCTATTATAACTATAGCAACATATAGCCCAAACCCTAGTCTCATTAGGAAGGCCCATATGCTGAAACTTTCAACCCCTAAAACCCGAAAGGTCCAGAGTCTTAAAGCTTAAATATAGGCGCCTAAATGGCCTAAATGTATAATATACACCAAAACCCTATTCAAATCATTTAAGCCCATATGATCCGGGAACCTCCCAACCCCAAAGGCCTAGTTCCTTAAAGCATACATTTTGCGGCCTTGGTGTAGAACACACCACAAAACCGTATTGTACGTACTAAGGCCTATGTATTAAGGGTTTGGTGTCTGCTCCTTTTGTGGCAGGCAGAGGCCCGTGAGAAGCTGCAGAGACGGAATCAAGCACTCCGGCTGAAGGAATTTGAGGATTTTCCTTTAGTCTTTGGTTTAGCAAACTTTATGTTTTTGGACCGTACAAGGTTACCCAGAAAAAGAACCACAATGGAGACTATAATAGGTAGGGTTTAGGCTTCAGGCTTGAGGGTTCGGGTTGAAGGCTTTCGTGGGTCGATCGAATGGTGCTATGGGCTGTGGGTTTCGCTGTCTCCTATCCCAAAGCCTTTAAGCCCTGAGCCATGCTTGAAGAGGTCTATTACTATTATCCGTGTTATTCTGGTTATTCGTGTTGTTTTTGTTATTATTATTATTGTTGTTATCATTTTTATTGTTGCTAATGCTATTATTGTGAGTAGTAGTTTGGAACCCCCCAAACCAACCCTGAACCCTAAACCTCCAGCTCAGGGTTTCAGAGAGCAAGGTTTCTGCAATCAAAGCCCTCCTTGAACAAGGAAGGGGTTCAGGGGTTTAGGGGTTTAGTGTAGGGTTTCAGGGTTTAGGGGTCTAGGGGTTTAGGGTTTAGGGTTTAGGGGCTCAGGGGTTTAGGGTTTAGGGGTTCAGGGGTTTAGGGGTTTAGGGTTTAGGGGTCTAGGGGTTTAGGGGTTCAGGGGTTTAGGGTTTAGGGGTTTAGCGGTTTAGGGGTTTAGGGTTTAGGGGTTCAGGGGTTTAGGGGTTCAGGGGTTTAGGGTTTAGGGGTTTAGGGGTTTAGGGGTTTAGGGTTTAGGGGTTTAGGGTTTTAGGGGTTTCGGGTTTAGGGGTTTAGGGGTTTAGGGTTTTGTAATTCCTAAAAGCCTCCACTTCGGGGTTGACGAGTCAGAGGTTGGAGGGTTTGGGGCTTCGCTTCGGGTTGAGGACTTTCGGGTAGATTCTGGTAGATGTTAGAAGGGGCCCCCACCCTGTAATAGTGGTATAATGGGAATGTTATGGGGCCCTAGTATAATCCTTATAGTCACTATTACAGGGTGGGGGCCCCTTCTAAGGTAGATGTTTGTTTGTCAGGGCTTTAAAGCTTAGGGAACCAGAAACTAGTACTGAACGGTAAAGTCTGATTCGTAGCGGTTCCTGTCGGCCAAGAGCCTTCTGATTGATCTTTTCCATGGTTTTGGCCTGTATTCTCTTCGTGTATTTCTGACGAACATGGTTTGTTACTTGCTTGGAAGTGCCAACCCTCTAACCACATGCGCACAACCACCTCTGCATCTCACATGAAATCCTACGCCTTGAACCATATGGATGGTTGTCAATACGGCACCTATTATTTAGGGTACCCAAACAGGGACCTTAATTTTGACGACTACCCATATGCTACGGCCCCACCCAACATCTTTTTGACAGCCTAAACCCCGGACCGTACATCCCTAGCCAAGCCAGTTTACAGCCGTACCAAACCCTGGCAAAGGGACTCACAATCCTAAGCCCTAATACCTGAGCCCCTACAGCCCTATTTTCGATATCCTAAGGCTCAAGATCTCCGCTAAGCCCGAATCCATAAGCCTCACAGCGCTCAGGACCTGGAGAAGGAGCTCGGCTGCGCGAAGGCCCAATGCTGCCTGGTTCCGGCTACTATAAATGCCATCAAACCATGGCCCCCAGCATGCGCAGGGCTCGGTTTTGGGGTGTAGGGTGGAGGCGGAGCAGTAGTAGTAGGAGGAGTAGGAGTAGGAGTAGGCGTGGGCGTAGGAGTAGAAGCAGGAGCAGTAGCAGCAGCAGCAGGAGTAGGAGTAGCAGCAGCAGCAGCAGGAGTAGTACTAGTAGTAGTAGTCAGTAGTAGTAGTAGTAGTAGTAGTAGTAGTAGTAGTAGTAGTAGTAGTAGTAGCAGTAGTAGTAGTAGCAGTAGTAGTAGTAGTAGTAGTAGTAGTAGCAGTAGTAGTAGTAGCAGTAGTAGTAGTAGGTAGGAGTGGGAGTGGTAGTAGTAGTAGTAGCAGCCGTACAAGTAGTAGTAGTAGTAGTAGTAGTAGTAGTAGTAGTAGTAGTAGTAGTAGTAGTGGTGGTGGTGGTGGTGGTGGTGGTGGTGGTGGTGGTGGTGGTGGTGGTGGTGGTGGTGGTGGTGGTGCTGGTGGTAGGTGGTAGTAGTAGTAGTAGTAGAAGAAGAAGTAGTAGTAGTAGTAGTAGTAGTAGTAGTAGTAGTATTAGTATTAGTAGCAGAAGTAGTAGTAGCAGTAGTAGTAGTAGTAGTAGTAGTAGTAGCAGTAGTAGTTGTAGTAGTAGCAGCACAAGAAGTAGTAGTGGTGGTGGTGGTGGTGGTAGTAGTAGTAGTAGTAGCAGCAGCAGCAGTAGTAAAAGGTAGTAGCAGAAATAGTACTAGTTGTTGTTGTTGCAGTGGGAGAAGGAGTAGCAGTAGCAGTTGTAGCAATGGTATATAGCGGTGGTAGTGGTAGTAGCAGTGGCAGTGGTGGTGGTACTGATGGTGGTAGTGATAGTGGAAGTCGTAGCTGTTATGCCAGACATATTCTTGCTCTTGAAGCCGTTGCTTGCTTTGTTGTTTGGATTGTTCCGTTTCCGAGCGCACCCTCAGATGGATTCCACAAGCGCCTAGCTCTTTACAGCTTAAGTCCTGCATTCAAATCACGGAGGTCCCTACTTTTCGGGACTTGTCGGAGGAGTGCTATGAATGGCACATTGTACTCCCTACCTATTCCGAGAATAAGTATACTATATTGATACGTCCTTCATCACAAGGATTTTTGGGAATCGGAAGCCCTATACCCTTGCCAGGAGGGCCTCGATCGCTTCATACAGGAAAACACGAAGCTCAGGCAACAAAGAGTCGCGGTCCCAGTGGGCGTTTGGGCTGTAGAAACGGTTTTGGAGTAGGGGTTTCTGTTGACGTTTGAGATCTTTTCGAATTTCTCGTCGGTGGTGGTTAGGAGGCTTGCGGGAAACCCTAAACCCTAAACCCTAAACCCTGTTGAGTGTCGACTTCGAGTAGTGCAGCCTCTCTGGGTGGCAGGTCTGGCACAATCTTTGTCATTGTTGGGTAACATTTTACATTTTTATGGGTACTTAAACCCGATAAGGAATAAGAATGTGCATTTTTAATCGTATCCCAACAATGAACTAGCAATGGTTTTAGCTTAAGCAGTGGCAGGCGCTTTCAATATCGTCGTCGCACGTCGCAAGCGAAGCCATCGCATGCAGCAGCAGAACAAGCCAAGGGGCGTTCATGATTTTGGTCCGAACTATGGTGGTGACGATGATTGTTGTCCGTCATCATGATCACCAGGACGCATGCGTGAAGATGGTACTGAATATTAGTTTGACGACCAAGTAGACAGTAGAAACTCGAGAGCCAAGCTTGAGCGCTCCAACTTCCCTGCCAAGCGTCTTCGCGCGTACAAAAAAGAAGCCGGATTTTTGTCGCTCAGGGCTTCAGGAGCCCGAAACCCTAAAACCCTAAACCCTAAACCCTAAAACCCTAAACCCTAAATCCGCCGGGGCAGGAGCAGGAGATGGAGGAAGAGGCCGCGCCAACGCATCCAAAGCAGAAGATGCAGGCCTTGACCTGCTTCCGGGTTTAGGGTTTAGGGATTGGGGATTAGGGTTTAGGGTTTAGGGGTCTAGGGGTTTAGGGTTTAGGGTTTAGGGGTTCAGGGGTTTAGGGTTTAGTGATTAGGGTTTAGGGTTTAGTGATTAGGGTTCAGGGTTCGGGGATTAGGGATTAGGGTTTACTGTAGGGATTGGGATTTCGATTCCTTAATGGGCTCCGGTAAGGGATACTAAGGGTCTAGGGTCAAGGGTTCCTCTAATAGGGGGTTTGTGTGTTCCTTAAAGGGTTCCCTCAAAGGATGATGTAACGGGTGCTCATGGTTTAGGGTTTACAGTCGGGTTCTATAAGGGTTCAGTTAAGGGATACTGTAATGGGTATTACGGGTTTAGCACAGGCTGTTATTCCTTGGTTTTTTCATAAAGTTGAAGTGTACTAATCCCCAATTTTCCTATTCTAAATGGCCATTGAGCTGCCACTTCTTTTCTGCCGTGGGCTTTCTCGTCTTGGTGTTGCATTCGTACTGCTGCACTGTTACCAGCACTAGCAGGCTTGCCAGGGCTATGAGTAGCAGTCTTGGTGTATTTTTAACTAGTTTGTGCTTTAAGTGCACTTCAATCTGTCTGTCGATTCGTCTGAGGGCGGCATGTTTGGCTTCAAGTGTCATATCTTGATACAACTGCCTCATGTAGAAAATAGTTTTCCACTTGGATGACAACACCCCAAAGCAGGATCCACCCAACTGCGAGAATCAGCTACATGCCCCTGAGGCTGTGTGCCCTTGCAGTGGCATCCAAACCTAACTATCACTTCCCAGAGACTCCAATATCCCTTAATTGAGGAATATTCCTTAAATCACATAAGGGATCCTACTATAATTTAAAGAATATTCCTTAATTAAGGGATATTGGAGTCTCTGGGTTCAACACCTTGAAGTCTTAAGCCCTCAACGCAGAAGCCCTAAAGCTCTGAACCCGAAGCAACGAAAGCCATCGAAACCCTGGCCGACGATGCATGAAAACCTTCGAGTCTTAACGTGCGTAGACATCCCGAAACTCTATACCAAAGACATAAAATGCAGTCCCATACCCCCCCCCCCCCCCGCGAGCCCCAAACCCAAAACCCTAAACCCTAAACCCAAAACCCAAAACCCTAAACCCCGAACCCGAAGACCCCAAACTCTAAATACACCAGAAGCGCCCCAAGGCTGAAGCCTCTAAAAAGTCTAAACACTAATAGGGCTTAGGGTTTAGGGGACTCCGATATCCCTTAATTAAGCAATACCTAGGGCCCTAGGGTTCCTTTAAGGGGATCTATAGGGTTGAGGGGTTTGGGGGTTTAGGGTTATGTAGGGTTTGGGGTTTTACCTAGTAGTCGAGTAGGTAACCTTTAACCTTTTATGGGTAGTATAGTCCCTATATAACCAAAAATGTTAACCTTTAGTTCCCCATGATACCCGACAAGTAAGCTAAGTGGGATCTGCGATCATGTACTGCAATATGGGAGTTATAAGAACCCCAAAATATGGTACCCCTAATTTTCGGAAACTCCCATATAAGATAGTATGGAATCCAAGCCGCGTCCTCACAGGCGATGGAGATGAGGCTCGACGAGGTCACGCGGAGATGTGAGGCCAATGGGCTGAGGGTTTAGCAGTGATTCAGGGTTAGGGGGCCGTTCAAGGTTTAGGGTTTAGGGTTGAGGGTTTTTGGAGGGGAGGGGCTCTTTTTCGGGATCTGTGGGTTGAGGATGAGCCCCGTGTCATTGAAGGCACCTTCCGTACTCGTCAGGTTTTGGGCTCCGCAGGTAACACAGGTCAGTTCTTTCTTTATCTCGCTGAATAACGAACCTGTACAGCAACCCCAAACCCTACACCCACAAAGCCACAGCATTAAACAGGAGAACCCATAAACATCGACCCTAAATCCCAAAGTCTACAAGCCCCATAAACCTTAGAAGCCCCATAAACCCTGTAAGCCCGTGAGTCCTCTAACTCCTACTTGGAGGGTCGGGGGACTTAGTAAGTAGGTAATAAGTAGACTTATAAGTACCTTGAAAGGGAGCCTAATTGAAAGTTATGGTACTTAGAAGTCTATAAACTAACTACTTACTAAGTCCCCCGACCTTCCAAGTACAGGGCCAGGGAGCCCTAAACTTAACCCTAAACCCTAAACCCTAAAACCTAAGAGTCTATAGTAGGGCTACTATTAAGGTCCTAATATATCTATATTATGAATAGTATTCAACTATTACTGAGTGGGGGCCGTACCCAACCCTAAAAGCCTAAACCCTAGAGCCCAAAAGTCGCAAAACCCTTAAGGTGGGGCCCCGATGGGACCTTTGCTCAGAGGGTCCATATGGGTGGTTGTCAAAATTATGGTCCCTTTTTGGGTCCCTATTATGATACGGCACCTACTATTTTGGGTACCCAAAAAGGGACCCTAATTTTGACAACTACCCATATATACTACCATTATGGAGTTAGGCCCCTAAAGCAATAAAGTGGATGTTCTTCTAGGGCCTCATTCCAGAAGGATAGCAAACATGGACCCTTTTTGGGCCGTAAGGCCCAAACCCAAAACAACCCTAAATCCTTAAACTCTTCAACCCTAAACCCTAAACCCTTAGCACATTCGGACCCTCTGGGTTGCAGTGTTGCAGTTCCCTTAAACGAGGCCTCATCGTTTTGGGATTTCCAGGCTTTCAGCAGCTTCTTGTGGAGGATCATGGGACTTAGTAGCTTAAAAGGCTCCTTAACGGGATTTATAAGGGTTTCTGGGTGAGGGTTTCTATAAGGGTACTATAGGGGTACTTGGAGGATCATGGGACCTAGCATGTAAGGTTATAAGCACCTTAGTTAGGGATATAAGTAGTTGAAAGTACAGTTACATTTTCAAACACGGTTTTAGAGGGCTCTAGAATATGAGAGTCTTGTTGTAACTTTAGGATAACGCACATTTTGGCTATGTTGCGCACAAGAGGCCTTACCCTAAACTCTATACTCTATGTGCTTAGACTCAGGAAGACGGGTTCAGGCTTTTTGGGGCCTGGGTTCAGAAACCCTAAACCCTACGCCCTCCACAAAAAATGCAAGAAACGCAGGGTACTATGGGGTTCTACACTTCCTTTAAGGGGTACTATGGGGTTCTATGCTAGGGTTCCCTTTCAGGGTTACTATGGGATTCTAGAATATGGTTACGGAAGAAAGGCTCAAGATCAGTGTAGCTTCGCGGGAGCCCTGAAAGCCAGTAAGCCCGACGCTGTTTTGGGTTTCGGGTTTGGCTTGTGGGTTTATAGGGTTAAGGGTTCTGGGTTTGTGAGTTTTCCCATCAACCAGAAGCCCCAAAATTCCAAACCCTAAACCCTAAACCGGTACAATCTCAACCCCCGCACTCTCCACCCAAAGCACTGGTACACCAGTCGAGGCTTGCATGCCGAATCGTGGCTGGGTGGGTCTCTAAGTTAGGGTCCTTTTCTAGGCTCCCAGAATAGTGCGGCACCGTAATAAAAGGACACCAAAAGGGACCCTAGTTTAGCGAACTGCCCGGATTGTGACTCCGCGACCTGATAAAGCTCAACCTATGCCATAAATGTGAAAGCCAATCGCTGAACCTGACGGTGCATTCCGTTTTCTTCACTGCATGCCATGTCGATTACTGTCCAGGTTGGATTGCTGAGTGGCAGGACAGTAGCTGTGACAGCCGACATTCATGAAGATGTTGAAAAATTGATGTGTCGGGCACAGATCGCATTGGGAGTTGGAAGAGGGCGGCTGCTGGACTCGCTTGGAAGCCTGCTGGATGCGCATGCGCCCATCAAGGAATCCAATTTGCAGAATGGTGACTCACTAATTCTGCAACTACGCCCAGTTCAAGCATGTCGCACAAGCGCGGCTTTCGCGACCATTCTTGGTGACGGATCCGTTTTGACTTGGGGTGATGAGACTTCTGGTGGTGACAGTAAAGCTGTGCAGGATAAGCTGAAAAATGTGCAGCAGATTCAAGCCAGTTCCAATGCTTTTGCTGCCATTCTTGGCGATGGATCCGTCGTGACGTGGGGCAGTCCTTCCTTCGGTGGGAACAGCAGTTGTAGTTACTTGCACGATCAGCTCACGAATGTGCAGCAGATCCAAGCCTCTAGGGGCGCTTTTGCTGCCATTCGTGGCGATGGATCCGTCGTGACCTGGGGCCGTGCTGGCTTTTGTAGTGACAGTAGTCATGTGCACAGCCGGCTAACGAATGTGCAGCAGATCCAAGCCTCATACTCCGCATTTGCTGCCGTTCTTGCCGATGGATCTGTTGCGACCTGGGGCCCTGCTAGCTATGGTGGCGACAGTAGTCCCGTGCAGGGTCAGCTGAAGAACGTGCAGCAGATCCAAGCCTCTGGACATTCTTTTGCCGCCATCCTTGGTGATGGAAGGGTTGTGACCTGGGGTCAAGCTGAGTCTGGGGGCGACAGTACTGCTGTGCAGGATCAGCTCAAGAATGTGCAGCAGATCCAAGCCTCTGGCAGCGCTTTTGCTGCCATTCTTGGCGATGGAGCCGTTGTGACGTGGGGCTCTGCTCGCTATGGTGGCGACAGTAGTGTGGTTCAGCGCCAGCTGAAGAACGTGCAGCAGATCCAGGCCTGTCTGGATGCTTTTGCTGCCATTCTCGGCGATGGATCCGTTGTGACCTGGGGTGATGCTCGCCATGGTGGCGACAGTACTGCTGTGCATGACCAGCTCAACAATGTGCAGCAGATCCAAGCCAGTTACTGTTCTTTTGCAGCCATTCTTGGTGACGGATCCGTCGTGACGTGGGGTGCTGCTGGATGTGGTGGTGACAGTAGTGCTGTGCAGGATCAGCTGAAGAATGTGCAGCACATCCAAGCCACCGAGGGTGCTTTTGCTGCCATTCTTGGTGACGGATCCGTCGTGACGTGGGGTGATGATCTTTCCGGTGGTGACTGCAGTGCTGTGCAGGATAAGCTGAAGAATGTGCAGCAGATTCAAGCCACTGACGCCGCTTTTTCGGCCATTCTTGGCGATGGGTCTGTCGTGACTTGGTCCGGTACCGAGTTCGGTGATGAGAGAAGATGTCTGCGGAAGCTGCAAGAGATCCATGCAGCGTCTGCTGCCTTTCCTGCCTTTAGTGACGATGGCCCTGTCGGGGTGTGCTGCATCGGCTTGGCGCGAGCTTGTGTGGCAATTTGCGTGCTCGCATGGATCAGCCTTCTAGTTGATTTTATATAGGCCCTACGGTTTAGAGTTTAGGGTTTAGGGTTTAGGGCCCTAAATCCCGAACCCTCAAACCCTTATCACTCACGCCTTTATGCTAGTAGTACTATTCCTTGGGGTCCCTTGTTATGATAAGACTATCATATACCCCCCAAACCCTATTCTACCTGTGAAGGCCTCCACCCCTTCGGGGAACACGGATCGAATCATGGAGCGAGAGCGTCTGGCGAAGGATCTGCGCAAGCTGCAAAAGCACCGCATCGAATTGCTGACCGTTGAAGGTTGGGTCCCTAAACCCTAAACCCCCTGTACAGGGAACCCCGATATTGTAGAACCCCCATAGGACCCCTTAAAGGAAACCCTAGATAGAACCTGAAAGTACCCCTTAAAAGGATTGCAGAACCCCATAGCACCGCTTAAAGGGAACCCCATATTGTAGAATTGTAGAACCCTCTCTGTACCCCTTAAAGGGGACCCTGCCATAGAAACTCGTGGTACTCCTTCAAGGGAACCCCATATTGTAGAACCAGAACTTGTTAGTACCCCTTAAAGGGAACCCTAGCAGCTAGCATAGAGCCCTGTAGTACCCCGTAAAGAGAACCCGATATTGTAGAACCCACAGAGTGCGCCTTCAAGGGAACCCCATACTAACCCCATTCTGTACCACACCCTTAGTACCCCTTAAAGAGAACCCTAGCATAGAACACCGTAGTACCCCTCAAAGGCAACCCAATACTGTAGAACCCCTTTTTCCGCATTAAAGGGAACCCCATCTTCTAGAACCTCCTTAGTACCCCTTGAAGGGAACCCTAGCGTAGAACCCCGTAGTACCCTCTCAGGAGAACCCCATAGTGTCGAACCCCCTCAGTACCCCATACTGTAGAATCCCATAGTAACCCTGAACAGGAACCCTAGCATAGAACCCCATAGTACCCCTTGAAGGAAACCCCCATACTGTAGAACCCCATAGTACCCCTTAAAGAGAACCCCATCTGGTAGAACCCCCATAGTACCCCTTAGACAGCAACCTAGCATAGAATCCCAAACCCTAAACCCTAAACCCCAAACCCTAAACCCCAAACCCTTAACCCTAAACCCTAAACCCCAAATCCTCAAGGGAGCCCTGTCTCGCCGCCCTCGTGATCGCAGATTCTGATCAAGAGCCGAGACCGGGAGTTGAAGGAGAAGACCGAGATCGCGGGAGCCCTGGGAATTTAAGGGCTCCTTCAAGGGCTCTTTTAAGGGCTCCTTTAAGGGCTCCTTTAAGGGCTCCTTTAAGGAATCCTTGAAGGAATCCTTTAAGGGATCCTTTAAGGGTTCCTTTAACAGGGATGTAGAGGGGTTCGTCGCGGGCTGCTTTAAAGGGATCTACAAGGGTTCTTTACGGGTTGCTTTACAGGGATCTATAGGGGTTCTATAAGAGTTGCTTTGCGCTATAAGGGTTCCTTGAAGGGCTCCGTTCAAGGGGAAACCTAGGGTTTTTCCTTTAAAGGGGAAACTTGGTGGGTTTTGGATAGGGTTTCTGGAGGTCTCTCTTTTTTCATGGTTGCTATAGAGATTGATTCTCTATGTTTTGTTTAAATACTCGTACGGTTAGGGTTTTGATAAGGTTTTGACAGGCTTTCTAGATTCTAGAGGTGTGTATACAGTCTTTATGCGGTTTTCCGGGTTTAATCGGGTTGTGATAGGTTGTCATAGGGCTCTGATAGGGTTCTATCGCTTTAAATAGGGTTCGCATAAAGGGCTCTTTCAAAGGGTTCTATAATTGGTGATATTTGGGGTGTGAAGGTTTGGGGCTACAAGAAGTAGACGAGTCGCTTCTTCGGGCACATTTGTTGTGCGCTTGAGTTCAACATGCACTCGTGTCTGCTTTCCAGTGTTCTCCTCCGCTCTTCCGGCTGCTCACACCTTGTATGTATTCTAATTAATTTTCCAGTCTGATGGAGTTACTTATTATAATTATTATTATAATTGGTCCCAAACCCCTAGTCCATTTATTAAGGTCCTGTATTACTTTGTGCAAGGGCCCGATCCCTGCGGATACGGATGTCGTTCAGAAGTTCTACTTAGGCCGATTGATCTTTGGCGTCAGCGTCGTCGGCCACCGATGGCACCTACTACCGTGGCGGGTTTCCTTCATATAACTATAGTAAAATACACCACCAAAACCCTACTCTACTTATTAAGATTATTAAGGCCCCTATATTATTCTGGGAGGACGGACAAAACCGCGCGTTCTAGCATCGAACTGCCTCGACTGTCGCAGCCCCACACTCGACGGAGCTGTCGGACGCCGGCAAAGAGCCCACAGCTCCCCAGAATTTCGGGAGGATCTATTTAGGGTTAAGGGTTTAGGGGTTTAGGGTTTAGGGGTTTAGGGTTTAGGGTTTAGGGCCGGGAGGATCTAGAAAGTAGATCCGCTAATTTGGGGCCCTATACTACTAAGACTTCATAGGAACCCCATTACGTAAGGGATCTACTTTTTGGATCCTCCCGGGGGTCTGGGTCTGTGAAAACACCGCCGACAAGGTCGCGACTCATGCGCTCCTCATCATGTGGTGGTCAAGCCTGTGAAAGTCCCTACCAGCGCAAACCGTAAGCCCTGAAAGGCCAGCAGGTCTGCTTCCATTCTGCAGCTCATGGCGTGAGCCGTCAGCCAACCCTGTACTCCTAGTAAGAAAGAAGCAAATCCTTGAAGATGGTTTTGCAAGGTGAAGTCTGAAGCCATCTAAGGATCCTGCCCGAATACCAAATCTGACACAGACCTGAAATTCAAGCCTTAACCCCCCCCCCCCAATTGAAAGTTTCAGACAGTGAGGACCTTCATATAGAACCCTAAATGATAGGAACCTTGTTCTTGTCATCAAATAGGAATTTTCAGATAATGAGGACCTCTTATTCACTTGACCCAAACCCCTAAATGTTAGGATCCTTACTCTTGTCACTTGACCGCGAAATGGCACCCACAAGAGCCACCGTTTAGGGTTTAGGGTTAACCCTCAACCCTAAACCCTAAGCCCTAAACCCTAAACCCTAAACCCAAACCCGAAACCCTCAACCCTAAACCCTAAGCCCTAAACCCTAAACCCTAAGCCCTAAACCCTAAACCTTAAGCCCTAAGCCCTAAACCCTAAACCCTAAGCCCTAAACCCTAAACCCTAAACCCAAACCCGAAACCCTCAACCCTAAACCCTAAGCCCTAAACCCTAAACCCTAAGCCCTAAACCCTAAACCTTAAGCCCTAAGCCCTCAACCCTAAACCCTAAGCCCTAAACCCTAAACCCTAAGCCCTAAACCCTAAACCTTAAGCCCTAAGCCCTAAACCCTAAACCCTAAGCCCTAAACCCTAAACCCTAAACCCGAAACCCAAAAGCAACATGTCTCCCGCCACCCAGATCTCGAAGCTGCAAGAGCGCGTCCTCCAGCAGTCCAAGGCGGCGTGAGACTGTAGGGCTCAGGGTTTGGGGTTTAGGGTTTAGGGTTTAGGGCTCAGGGTTTAGGGCTCAGGGTTTAGGGTTTAGGGTTTAGGGTTTAGGGTCCAGGGTTTAGGGTCTAGGGTTTAGGGTTTAGGGTTTAGGGTTTAGGGCTCAGGGTTTAGGGCTCAGGGTTTAGGGTTTAGGGTTTAGGGTTTAGGGTCCAGGGTTTAGGGTCTAGGGTTTAGGGTTTAGGGTTTAGGGTTTAGGGCTCAGGGTTTAGGGTTTAGGGTTTAGGGTTTAGGGTTTAGGGTTTAGACTTCAGAATGTTTGGGGCTTAGGGTCATTTCATTGTATCCTTGGGGTTTCCGCCTAGAGGTTTATACTTTGTTTGGTTCTGATAGGGCTTTTGCAGTGCCGGCAGTTTTAATTTTAAGCTTTCTAGCGCTTGGTAGCATTTTAAAAATGTCTTTTCAAGTAGGACTTTATTGAAGGGCATTACAGACGTTTTTTGGGTCTTTTTAAATAGGGTTGTGCAAGGTTTAGGAATGGTTTCATTGCGATCATGCTGAAGCTGGGTAACATCTCAAGCATCACCACGTACCAGGTACGTGGTTGGAGCGAGAGATTGGGGCTTTGTGGTCTCTGATTAGGTCTGGGAGCTAGCATTCGACGAACGCATCCTCCATCACAAGACATAGGCTGAGTGTTACGGGCAGTTTCGCTATGCCAGTAGCCAGCCAAGTTCGAGCCCTCAAGCCATGCAGTACCCGGAACTGCTGCTCTTATAGAGCCCTAAACCCTAATCCCACCTCCGCAGGACAACATTGCGCTGGACAGGAAGTGGGACGAGCGGGTCCAGCAGAAGGAAGAAGGGTGCGCTCAACGTTCGAACCTGGACGGGGTTCGAAGGGTTTCTAAGGTTCGTTCAATTAAATAAGCCTGTTATAGGGTTTTTGTAGTAGGGTTCCATTTACGTAAGGGTACTGTATGGTCCTACAAATAGAAAGGTTCTCCAGTAGTACCTTTCTTGCACGTTTTTGTTTAGGGTCTCCTGATAAGACCGGATGCCAGGAAGCAAGGGCACCCTTATGGTTAAGGGGTTACCGGTTACGGGGGAACCCAGACAAAATTCACCAAACCTGCCCTGTTGTTCAAAACCGAACACAGGCCCTCTACATCGTGACATCTGGAGCCCCCCCTAAACCCTAAGCCCTAAACCCTAATCCCTAAACCTTAAACCCAAAACCCTAAACCCTAAACCGTTAAGCAGAGTTCTTCTACGCCTCTGAGACGTCGTAACCGTTGGAGAAGCCAGAGACTCCACTATCCTTTAAGTACGGATTATATCCTCTGAACCATATTAGGGATTCCTCATATAATCTAAGGTATATTCCCTAAATAAGGGATATCCCTTATAGAAAACTCAAAGGAAACCTCCTAGATCCCTTTAAAGGGATATTGGAGTCTCCGGGAGCTTACTTCATGGATCATTGGACTTAGCAACTAGAGCTGTTTATAACTATTTACAAACACCGAGTGAGGTACCAATTACCTTACTTACTGAGTCCCATGATCTTCCAAAGTGACCCTAAACCTCAAACCCTTAGAGGGAAGCCTATTATGGAGCCCTATCCTATCCTTAAAAGGAGCCCTAAACCCTAGTTACTAAGTCCCATGATCCTGCAGGTAGACCCTGAAAGCCTTAAGGGGATCCCGAAGAACCCTAAACCCTAAAGCCCTTATAGTACCCTTATAGTAGTTCTTATAGGAACCCTTAAAGGAACCCTAAAACTCCAAGTCCCATGATCCTCCAAGTAGGAGTTTCCGAAAATAGGGGGCCCTAATATAGGACCCGAAATAGTAGGATCCTTATTAGAAGGACCCCAAAATAAGGTACCCCGAATTTTCGGAAACTCTAAACCATTATGGAGCCCTTTAAAGGAACCCTTATGTAGTACCCTTGCAGTAACCCTTTAAAGGAACCCTAAGGTACCCCGAATTTTCGGAAACTCCCAAGTATGTCTTGTCGGAGCTTTTGGCTGCTCCCGGCCCCGGCTGTGGCCGCTGCTGTTACGGCCAATGCTACTACCGTGGACACTGGTACTATAGTCTCTTTAAGAATATTCTCAAAGAGCCTAAAGATACTACTTGTATATGTTGTTTTCTTAAAATACTATTGTGGTTATAAGGTGGGCATAGACTATGGAGACAAGCTCGCAGTAGGAAGAAGAAGAAGAAGAACGACCATGACGACGTGGATGACGCCCAGGAAAGAATGCGAATGACAGCAGTAGCACAGCAAGAAGCGAAGCTCCTCCTCTCCTCCTCCTCCTCCTCCTGTCTCTTAATTAGGGTTTAGGATTTAGGCTCTCTTTAATTCCTCCTCCTCCTCCTCCTCCTCCCCCCTTCCTCTGCGTTGTCATGACAGTAACAGTAACAGTAAGAGCAGGTACGGGATACTGGTGGCGCAGCTGAAGCATGCAGAGGGTCAGATCCTCGCGCGGGCCTCGTGAGCCTGCGCTTCTTTTAGGGTTTAGGGTTTACAGTAGAAGCCAGAAAGTTGGAATATCATTATCGTACCCCCTTTGTGGTAAATTATGGGGTATCCTACCCTGAAACCATATTCCAACTTTCTGGAGTTCCCTTTAGGGTTTAGCGTCCAGGGGGGGTTTAGGGTTCAGGGGTGGGTTTCGTGGTGCCATAAGGGTTACTATGAGCTCTACTCTGCGGCTCTACGGTTTGCCACAAGGGGTTAAGAGGTACTCGAAGGGTTACCGGAGCTTGTGTCAAAGTGCCCAGTCAAAACTCTGAGAAGGTGGGCAGTTGCCTTCGGCTTCCGCTGATGTTTTCATCTTCTAGAAGCTGCAAAATCGAAAGTTTCGAAATTATGTCGACTTCCCCATTCTAAAACCCGTTGTGGTCCTTGTTGTGGTGTTGATTATGCAGTGGCCTACATGCTTAGAATGGAGTCTGGGGGTATAGTTTAATATGAATATGGTAGCCCTTCCCGCTCCAGGGTCCTTGAACAATGAGATGTCCTTGTTTTGGTTGTGGCAGCAGGAGTCGTGTTGATAGTGTGCCTTTCCAATGTCATCCAGGTTTCTTCGCCAGCCCGAGAAGTACGGTTGATGATTTAAATCCTGCATTACCCATAGTAAGGAATCTACCATAATTCCCATAGGGTAGGGTCCTTAAGGTAACGCAGGATTTCTATCATCAACCGTATTACTAAATACTTGCGGTTCAATCTCAGAGAGAACCCTAAACCCTAAATCCTAAACCCTAAACCCTAAACCCTAAACCCTAAACCCCTAAACCCTAAACCCTAAACCCTAAACCCTAAACCCTAAGCCCTAAATCGACAATCCTCCTTCGAATCCTACACTGACTCACTAACCGGGGATCCCCAGCTCTGCCGCTTCCCTGCACTTCTTAACCCTAAAACCCCCAAACCCTCTCTGAAACATGAAAAGTTTAGGGTTTAGGGTTTAGGGTTTAGGGTAACATGAAAACAAACAACCAGCATCATAATGATGATAATAGTACTGATAGCAGTCGTAATGTCTAGACACACAAAACCCTGAATGCCCTGAACGGGAAGCCTTTAAAAATTTCCAGACGTGCAGCTAAAATCAAGCAGAGGCCTAGGGTTAAGGGTCTTTGGGGCTTAGGGGCTTAGGGTCTTTGGGGCTTAGGGGTTTAGGGTTTAGGGTTTAGGGTTTAGGGCTTAAGGTCCAGGTGAAAGCTTCGTGGCTGAGGCTTTCGGGCTTTCAGGTCTACAGACCAGCTTTAGAGAGGGTTTGGTTCAGGGGTTTAGGGGTTTAGGGGTTTAGGATTTAGGGTTAGGGTTTAGGGGTTCAGGATTTAGGGTTAGGGTTTAGGGTTTAGGATTGAAGGTTTCGGGTTTAGTAATGCTTTTTGCCCGAACTTTCAATTTTGCGACCTCGAAGACCCCTGCATTTGACAGGGCCACCGGAAGCACATGTCGAAGAAGGCTTCTGTACAGGGTTGGATAAATAGGGTTTGGGGTTTAAGGGTTCTGCTTTCAGACCACGTCAAGACCGCAGCCGTCTTAAAGGCTCTGGACCTTCTTCTGACCGTCCCTACAAAACCTCCTGAGGTCCCCAGACCCTAAAACCCGACCTCAAACGAAAAGCCCCCAACACTGACACTAAAGGGTTGGGGGTTTAGGTTGAACCCTCCCCAAAAACGTTTAATGTAGGGGCACTAATAGTTAGAAAAAAGTTTTTTGGCGGTTCGTTATTGTAATTATAGTATAATATATCCCCAAGCCCCATTCTACTTATTAGGGCCCCTATGTTAAGCAAGTCTCGTCAGCACAGGAAGAGCGCGAGAAGACGCTGGCGGCCAAGAAGGAGATCCAGCGCCGAGACGCGAGGCCAGGCGAATTTAGGGTTCCCCGTAAAGGGGACTATGAAGCCGTGAACAACGAACCCTAAACCCTAAGCCCTAAACCCTGAACCCTCAACCCGAAACCCTAAACTCGAAAGCCCTAAAACTCTAAACTGCCGAGAGCACCGCTGACGATTTACGCGCACGCTCGAGGCTCTGACCTAGGCCCCCGGCCGAGCGTCTCGTCAGAACGGGCAAAACCTACCGCAATTCCCCCGTAAATCGCGAGTTGTAGCATGCTTATATGGGAGTTTCCCAAAATATGGGGCCCGAATATGGTACCCTAAATAGTAGGATCATTGCAATAAGGACCCCCGAAAGGGTACCCCTATTGTCGGAAGCTTTAAACCCTTATAGAGCCCGTCAAAGGAACCCTTAAAGTACCCTTACAGTAACCCTTTACAGGAACCCCTCTGGCCTTATATAATATGTGAAGTGCACGTTGTCAGAGGATCGCTGAGCTGAAGCAGGAGCATGCAGAGGACCGCCTGGAACGCGTAAGAGGAAGTGGGCTCCGCTTGGGGTTTAGGGTTCAGGGTAGGCCTTGACTCCAACGGCCGCAGGCTTTTAGGGGGAGCCGTCAAACCTTCGGGAATTCGTGGTTTAGGGTTGACGGGGCCGAGTCTAAAGCCAAACTTTCTAAAGCCTTACACCACTTTTCAAGAAACCCTCGAAGGCACCCTTAAAGGAACCTGATAGTTTGGATGGTACCCTTAGAGGAGCACAAGAAAGCCCAGCCTGGACTAATATCGGGGCCGGAAGTACTGAGCCGCAGGCTTCGTGCCACTGGGCTTTAGAGCTCCATGTGCCCATACAGTAGGTACTTAGGCCTTAAAGGGGCCCCTATATGCCTACTTTAAGGCCTAAGTACCTACTATATGGGTATATGGAGCCTTTGGGTTGTATACTTTTACAGCAACTACGAGCCAGGCCCTGGGCGTAGGATTAGGGCCTGGCAACCACCAGAGTAAGAAGTGTAGACCCCCACATTTCTTAATTTGGCCTCTGCCTTGTGCCCTAGGCTCCAGAATTGAATAAGAAACGTAGCCTCCTCCTGTTCTTAATTTGGCCTTGACCAAGAGACCTAAGATCCTAGGGCCTGGAAACCACGAATATGAGAAACGTGGCCCCCTGCACTTCTTAATTTGGCCTAAGCCAAGTGACCTAGGCTTAGCGCCTTGAAACCACGAAAAGGAGAAACGTGGCCCTTGTTTTGATACTCCTATTAGGGGTTCTCGGAATTAAGAAACGAACCAAGCAGCCAAATAACAACAGCTACCAAACGTTACTCTGTGTTTTTTACAGCAAGAAGGTCCGACTGAGGTAGCCCCTACATCTCTTATCCAACCATTTCTTATGCAATCTAAAGGATGCCATGCCCGAGTGGATAATCGCATGAGCTGGATTGGAAAGGGTTGCGGGCTCGAATCCTTCAAAAGCTCTCAGTTCTTGAATTTGTTTTTTCTTTGCTGCCGCTTCAAACTAAGAAATTTGGGTTAAGAAATCCAGCGTCCCGAAACGTTATTTTTACGACAAAAGGCGCGCTTCAAACTTAAGAAGTCAAGTCTTCTCGAAAGCCATCAAATCGATCCAGTTTTGTCCAGCATGTGATCAGCCCCTACCAGAACCTCCCAAAATAAGACATCGAGCCCCTCAACTTCTTAAATGCAATAAATGCAAGGTATCGAGCCCCTCGTTTTGTAATTTTTTTTGGTCGCACGGCCGTCCGATGAATGATTTCTTAAGCAGTGCTGTTGCTGTACTATATACGGCATAGTTGGACTGTGCTGTAACATAACCCAAAAAGTTTCTCTAATTGTGACGGCTCTATATAGTTCTTCTGTAAGCCGCGTTGTTAAGCCGCGTTGTTGTACCGTAGCATAACCCCTGAGCTTCTAAACATGAAAGCCCCATGCAGCCATTACAGTAGTTATTATGGTAGAGTATAACCCATGATTAGGGCCGCATAGAATAGTATAATATACCATGCCCCCACAACTTCATTCTGATTCTAAAGGCCATAGTCCGGGGATCATGGAAGTGTCAGGTTTCAACTACGGCTTGCAACTAAGTGCATGTACAGTTTCCTGATTTATAGATTTATAATCCTAGTTACTCAAGTTTCATGAACCTTTAAGCAGACCTTAAACCCTAAGCCCTTACAAGAACCCTCAAAAGGAACCCTGTCAGAGAACCATATAGTACAGTCAAAAATAACCCTTGTCCAGAAGGCCCCAGTACCGGCAAAAGGAGCCCTGTTACAGAACCGTTAATGGGAACCCAAAACCCAAAACCCTGAACCATAAACCTTACACCCTAAACCCTACACCCTAAACCCTAAATCTTGAACCCTAGACCCTGGACCCTAAACCCCAAACGATGAGCCCTTAATCCTAAACGATGAACCCGAAACCCAAACCCTGAACCCGAGACCCTAAACCCTAGAGATCCCTTATAGATCCCTTAAAGGAACCCTTAAAGGAACCCTTAAAGGAACCCTAAAAGAATTTCTAAAGCCCTTAGAGCACTGCAAGCCCCAGCGACGGCTCCAGGAGTCGCGGCAGCGGCTGAAGGACCGGACGATGCTTTTCAACCGGCTGAGAGAGCTGGAGGTGGGTGGTTTTAGTTAGGGTTCCTTTAAACGGATCTATGAGGGTTCCTTTATTGGGGTCTATTGTAGGGGTTCCTTTAAAGGGATCTATGAGGGTCCGACGAGAGGGGTCTAGAAGGGTTCCCTTACAGGGGTCTATAGTGGTTTAGGGTTTAAGGTTTCAGGTTTGGGGGTTTAGTTAGGGTTCCTTTAAAGGGATCTATGAGGGTCCCATGAGAGGGGTCTAGAAGGGTTCCCTTACAGGGGTCTATAGTGGTTTAGGGTTTAAGGTTTCAGGTTTGGGGGTTTAGTTAGGGTTCCTTTAAAGGGATCTATGAGGGTCCCATGAGAGGGGTCTAGAAGGGTTCCCTTACAGGGGTCTATAGTGGTTTAGGGTTTAAGGTTTCAGGTTTGGGGGTTTAGTTAGGGTTCCTTTAAAGGGATCTATGAGGGTCCCATGAGAGGGGTCTAGAAGGGTTCCCTTACAGGGGTCTATAGTGGTTTAGGGTTTAAGGTTTCAGGTTTGGGGGTTTAGTTAGGGTTCCTTTAAAGGGATCTATGAGGGTCCCATGAGAGGGGTCTAGAAGGGTTCCCTTACAGGGGTCTATAGTGGTTTAGGGTTTAAGGTTTCAGGTTTGGGGGTTTAGTTAGGGTTCCTTTAAAGGGATCTATGAGGGTCCCATGAGAGGGGTCTAGAAGGGTTCCCTTACAGGGGTCTATAGTGGTTTAGGGTTTAAGGTTTCAGGTTTGGGGGTTTAGTTAGGGTTCCTTTAAAGGGATCTATGAGGGTCCCATGAGAGGGGTCTAGAAGGGTTCCCTTACAGGGGTCTATAGTGGTTTAGGGTTTAAGGTTTCAGGTTTGGGGGTTTAGTTAGGGTTCCTTTAAAGGGATCTATGAGGGTCCCATGAGAGGGGTCTAGAAGGGTTCCCTTACAGGGGTCTATAGTGGTTTAGGGTTTAAGGTTTCAGGTTTGGGGGTTTAGTTAGGGTTCCTTTAAAGGGATCTATGAGGGTCCCATGAGAGGGGTCTAGAAGGGTTCCCTTACAGGGGTCTATAGTGGTTTAGGGTTTAAGGTTTCAGGTTTGGGGGTTTAGTTAGGGTTCCTTTAAAGGGATCTATAAGGGTCCGATGAGAGGGGTCTATTGTAGGGGTTCTTTCAAGGGATCTATAAGGGTTCCTTTATTGGGGTCTATTGTAGGGTTCTTTAAAGGATTCCTGTATTGGGGTCTATTGTAGGGGTTCTTTAAAGGGATCTATGAGGGTTCCTTTATTGGGGTCTATTGTAGGGGTTCTTTCAAGGGATCTATGAGGGTTCCTTTATTGGGGTCTATTCTAGGGGTTCCTGTAAAGGGATCTATAAGGGTCCGATGAGAGGGGTCTAGAAGGGTTCCCTTACAGGGGTCTATAGCGGCTTAGGGTTTGGGGTTTAAGGTTTAAGGTTTGGGTTTCAGGCTTTGGGGTTTAGGGTTTGGCGTTTAGGGTGTGGGGTTTTCGTCGGAATCCAGCGGTTTCACAGTTTCTTCATGGGGTCAGAAGGGCTTTTTCAAAGGGTTTTATATAGGCTTAAAAAGGTTTTGCATTTTGTATCAGGCTTTACGCGTTTTGCAGGGGTTTTGGTTGGGTCTAAACCCCTCTAAACATTCTGTGACACCCGTAGACACCACCTTAAACCCATCCGGCAAAGTCCTTCGAAGAGACCAAAAAGTCCTTAGAAAACCCCATGGAACCCGTAAGACCTAAACGTAAAACCCTGCAACATGAAACGTAAATGTCTCAAGCCACGAACACTACACCCTAAGCCCTAAACGCTAAGCCAAACCCCGATCCCTAATATAGCGGCCCATAATACTATTTTGGATTTGGGGGTTCCATATTACAAAAATAGTAAAATTGGCCCCAAACCCCTATGCTAATTATTCAGGCCCCTGTATTAATTCAGGTCCCAGCCCTGAATCAAAACCCTAAACCCTAAACTTAAATTCTGAACCCTAAACCCTAAACCCTAAATTCTAAACCCTAAACCTAAACCCTCAACCCTAAACCCTAAATTCCATGGTCTGCAGGGGGAGCTGGTGACGAAGGCGAACCGCGAGGATGCGATCCGCAAAGAGTGGGAGGCCGGGAGCGGTGGGGTTTCCGGCTGCGACCAAGGAGTTTAGGGTTTAGAGTTTATAGTTTAGGGTTTAGGGTTTAGAGTTTAGGGCTCAGGGTTTAGGGTTTAGGCTTTTCCAGGGTCTAGGGTTTAGATTGATACAGAATATTTGGTTTATTGAAGGGTCCCATTAAAGGTTCCTTGCAGCCTTACTTCAAGGGTTCCTTGAAGGGAGTTCTTTTTTTGGGTTCCTTGTAGTTTTCTGAAGGGGTCCTTCCAGGATTCCTTGAATTGAACCTGGGTTTGGAGTACCATACTTGAATACTTTTTTTGGTACCTGTTCCTTGCTTAAAGGAACCATTATAAAATATTAGTCTATACTTTCTTCTCCCTGCTTACTTCAAAGTCCATTGAAGCTTGAAGGGTTCCAGGAAGCGTTCCCGCCAGCATTCCTTCAATGCTTTCCTTACTTGGAGGGGCAGGGGACTTACTAAGTAGGTTATAGGTAGAGTTATAAGTACCCTAAGTGGAGTTACACCAATTATAACCCGACTCATAAACGACTTACTAAGTCCCCTGCCCCTCCAAGTAGGGGTTGCTTGAGCGTTCCTCCAAGGGTTTCCTTCTGGGTGCTTGGAATTCTTTCAGTGCTCTTCCTTTGAGGGTGCAGGTTTGTTTCTGAGTACTGTAAGGGAACTACAGGATTCTGAGGTTTAGGTGTTCTTGAAGAGGGTAGTTATACTTATAAGGTTTAGGGTGGGTCTCCGCAATGGTTTGTTGAAGTTAGGGGGTCGTGTGATAGCTCTACTGGTTTTGCCCAAACCACTAAGCTCTTCTTGGAGAGGAAGTCCCTAATTACGGTTGATGATATGAATCCCGCATTACCCATAATAAGGAATATACCCATTATTCCCATAGTTTAGGGTCCTTAAGGTAATGCAGGATTTGCAGTATGAACAGTAGGGGTTTCCATGAGTTTCATTGGGGTTTTAATAGTGTTTGAAAGTTGCAGGTCCTGTGTATAGGGCTTTCTGGGATTTATTTAGAGCGGCTTTTATACAGGGAGTCTTAAATCCTTCACATGGGGCTTTTACTAGGATTTGGAAGTTGTAAGGGTTTAGTTGCGGGTCCTTCTATAAGTTTTTTTGAACAGGGTGTATGCGGGATTGGGTGTTGCACAGAGAAGCTGGGATGTGGCGCCACGCAGGGCTCAAGATTTCTTTCCCGATCGGCAGCGCTCATAACGCTTGAGGGCTTGGGTTCCGGTGGAATCATGCCGCAAGCCGCCGCAAAATCCTCAACCCTCAGCCTAAACCCTAAACCCTAAACCCTCAACCCTAAACCCTAAGCCGCAAATCCTCAACCCTCAGCCTTCAACTACATCCATCTATCCCGAACTCCAGACCCCTCCATGCTGAACCTGCTTAGCCCTAAACTCTCGACTGTAACCCCAAACGCCACAAAGAGCGAAACCCCCGATATAGCTAATGCCACAATCCGCCAAACCCCGAACTATACGGATATATATATATATATATATGTATATATATATATATATATATATATAAGCGCCCTTCACATCGAACTCTAAGCCCCGATTCGCTCTCCGTCCCTATGCCTTGATCCCAAAAAGACGCCTCGTGAGGCAACCTACGACGATCTCAGGCACCAGTGCCTGTAGGGTTTACAGAGTTATTTTGGGGGTTGATGGAGTTTTTGGGTAGATTTCATAGGGTGTTGTTTTGGAGTTTACAGGGTGTATAGAGGGTTTATAAGGTTTATAGGGTTTATAGGTTTGTTGGGTTTACAGTCTGGGGTTTAAAGGATACGGGGCTTTGATTTTGGAGTTCAAGGTTTCAGTCGGGGTCGACTTGAAGGATCGTGGGACTTAGTAACTGGGGGTATAACTGAGGTAACCATACTTATAATTACTTATAACCCCAATTAAGGTACTTTATAACCTGACTTACTAGGTCTCATGAACCTCCAAGTAGACCCCAAACCCTAAACCCTATAGATCCCTGTAAGGAACCCTATAGATCCCTTTAGGGAGCTTTTTAAGGAGCCCTTTAAATATTACTAAGTCCCATGAACCTCCAAGTAGTGTCTTCTCTGGAACGGTAAACCCGCAACCGCTAAACCGTAAACCCAACCCTTAGGCTCTAAGGACGCATATAGGGTTCCTCTAAAGGGATCTATAAGGGCCCTTTAAAGGTATCTATAGGGTTTAGGGCTCTAACGTCTCATTTTTTACCTTACCTGTATCCCCCTGAAGTAAAGGGTCGAACCCCTAAAAAGGTAGGTTTTTAGATCCCCGGGAAAAGCCTAAACCTAAACCCTATGAAACCTAAACACTAGACTCTACAAGATCATTTAAAAAGCTTGGGGCGAACCGGGCGTGGTGTGAAAGTTTAGGTTCCTTATGTTTTCAGGTGGCTCTTAGGTTTCGGGCTTAGATTTGAGTGTTCGGGCTCTCAGCGTTTATACAGGGCTCAGGCTTCATTGTAGGATTTTCGGGTCTAGAGTTCAGGGTTATGAACCCTAAACCCTAAACCCTAAACCTCGGCTTGACTGAGTTTGGACGTGCTAAAACCCCTTGAGACTGAGCCCCGAAGGGTCAAGCCATAAAGGGAACTCCAGAAAGTTGGAATATGGAATAATGGCAGGATCCCCTATAATTTACCATAGACGGGTTAGGATAATCATATTCCAACTTTCTGGCTTCTTTCTACTGTATGGGAGTTTCCGAAAAGAGGGGCCCCTAATATAGCACCCCTAAATAATGGGATCCTTATTACAAGGATCCACAAAAAAGGTGCCCCTAATTTTTCGGAAACTCCCATATTCTCATTTCCGAGCCACAGAATTCTCAACGAATGTCCTAAGATCCTGAAGACGCCAGCCCGAAGCCACAGACCCTCCACCCAGAGACTCCAATACAGTACCGTAGAAGCCAGAAAGTTGGAATATGATTATCCTAACCCCTTTATGGTAAATTATAGGGGATCCTGCCATTATTCCATATTCCAACTTGCTGGAGTTCCCTTTACCCCTTAACTAAGGAATATACGTTAAATTATGGTAGGATCCTTGGTACGATTTAAGGAATATTCCTTCATTAAGTGGTATTGGAGTCTCTGGGCAGTCTCAAGCCAAGGGTGAAAGCAGGGCTTGAGGGTCTTAGTGTTCCAGGCTCTACGGTTGTGTAGCGCCGTAAGGGTTTAGGGTTTAGGGTTTAAAGGGCTTTGAAGGTTTAGGGTTTAGAGGTTTGGGGTTTAAGGGTTTAAGGGTTAAGGGTTTAGGGGTTTATAGGGTCTACAGTAGAAGCCCAAAAGTTGGAAACCCCATAGCCTCAATGCTTAGCAGTAGTGCATAGGGAATCCCAGAACTCTTTTCCCTCAGTCCGGTTTCCAACTTTATGGGGTTTACTGTAAGGGAGTTAGGGTTTAGGGTTCCTTTAAGGGTTTTCTAGGGTTCCTTTAAAGGGATCTATGGGAGCGTAGGATTTATATAGGCGTTTAGGGGCCTAGGTTTTACGGTTCCGCAAGGTTTCAGCGGTCCCAGGGGTCGAGGACTTCGCGGTTTTGGGGCTGACCTACAGTAGAATACAAGTTCTTTTTGGGGTTTACTAAAAATAGAGGGGGCCTTAATAATTACCTATATCTTTTTGGTGGCTCATTATTATAATCACAGAATTATGGGCCCCAAAACCCTATTCTATTTATAAAGGCCCCTAAACCCTAAAGCCTAAACCCTAAACCCTAAACCGGCTCTTTTGCCTGCAGGATTCGCTCCGACCTGCGGGTGCAGCTCTCAGCACCGGATCCGATCCGCCAAACCCGAAGCCACACTGCCCCGAACCCGAACCCTAAACCCTGAACCCTAAACCCCAAACCCCGAACCTTGAAGCCTGAACCCGAAACCCAAAACCCTGATATTCCGACTTTGTAGCTCCAGTTGGGTGGGGACTTTGCCTGAGGCTCCCAAAGAGCAGCCTACGTTTGTGGTATAAGCCTTACTTGCTGAGGAAGCAGACCTGGAGATCGAGATCGTGCCCTGATCCTTTGTGTTTCGTTCCATGCTTCAGGTGGTGGATGCAACTTGGGAGTTGTAGCAGTGCCTGGTAAGCCGAGAGCATGCTTCAGGGTGTAGGGTTTAGGGTTAGGCAGACAGCACGGCTGTAATCTTGGATTGTTGTTCTGTTACCTGCTTGGATAGTTGTCAAAATTATGGTCCCTTTTTGGGTACCCTCAACATTAGGTGCCGTATGATAATAAGGTCCCAAAAAGGGACCATCAATTTGACAACCGCCCACTTGTCCTCGAAGTTGGGGCTGCTTGGATACATTTTGAGGGTCCCTTGTTGTTCGAGGGACTTCGGCATCGAGTGACTGTATGCCACAACCTCATGCGCCTGTGATCAGTGATACACTGTCTGGCGGGTTTAGGGTTTAGCAGGGTGTTGGGGTGTCTAGGTTTTAGGGTTTTGGGTTTAGGGCAATTTAAAGGCCTGCTCTGGAAAGCTGGGATGCCATCTTGCAGGCAGGACTTGCTTTACATCCCAAGCCATAAATAGGTTCCGCAAACCCAAACCCGGAGCTGTTGCTGGACTCCGGACGGTGAAGCCGATGCAGAAATCCCTATGGAATGCGAAAGCACTAAACCCTAATCCTTGAACAAAGTCCTTCATCCCAGCCACTTGCAGGTACGGCGCGATAAAGCCAAGGCGGCCACGGAGAAGGAGCTCCTCACAGCACCTTGCCGACAGTGGCAGGATAGTGGTAATTCCTTGTCGAGATCGGAAGAATTGCTACAACTGCAATGAATTCTAGTTATTCGGGCCCCTATAGAACTCTACGGCCACTTTGGGGTTTTATCATCGGGTTAAACCCTAAACGCAAAACCTTCAGCCCAAAATCCGCAAACCATTTCCCTTAAACCTTGAACCCTAAACCCTAAACCCTAGGCTTCCTTCGACAGACTCTGCAGGAGGAAAAAGGTGCTTAAAAAAAACCCTAAACCCTTAAATCCCGTTGTCTGGGTTTCTGCAAAGGTGCGAGCACAGTTCGACAAAGCCCGCGTCACCTGGGAGAGCAAGGAGCGGGAGCTCGAGGCACGGATTCTCTTTAGAAGGGTTTAGGGTTTAGGGTTTAGGGAAAAAAATTTTATGGGTGGTGTCAAAATTAGGGTCCCTTTTTGGGTCCCTATTAAAGTACGGCACCTCTTATTCAGGGTACCCCAAAAGGGGCCATAATTTTGACAACTACCCATATAGGGTTTTATACAAAGGTTTAGGGCTTTAAGTTTCGGGTTTAGGGTGTAGGGCTTTAGGTTAGGCCTGAGAGTTTGGGTAGGGGTTTAGGGTTTAGGTTTTAGGTCTTGGGCCGGGGGGCTGCTGGGTGTTTGGTCTTGCTTGCAAAGAAGCGCCTCAAGGTTTCTGGACCCTGAACGCTATATGGAAAAGGGTCTAGGAGTTTAAGTCTTTAAGTTCTGTGGGTTCGTCTTCGGGCCTGGTGACTGTGCGCTTTTATGCCAATGAAAAGATGTTGGAGAAGGATCATGTGCGTGATGACCATTACCACGAGGATGATGAGGGTGATGAGGACAAGGACACTTGTAGTGAACGTGGGAGCGACACTAGTCATGTTGAGCGTGGTAGTTACGATGATGTTGGTTGTGTGGGTGCTCAGCATGCAAGTGCAGCGAGCTGTCAGCTCTGGGGCTGGTAGTAGTCCTTCGGTTCTCCAGCTTCATGCCACCCTTTCGCTGTTTGTGGATGTGGGTTTAGGGGTTAGGCTTTAGGGTTCTAGGCTGAACCTGAAGGAAAGCAAAGTGCATAGTTGTAGGCTTCTTGCACATGACTTCTCCTGACACGGCGAACTAAAGCCCTGGGAAGACGCCGGAGGTTCATGACCAGAGACCCCGCGCACTAACCCAGAACCCTAAGTCTAAACCCTGTTGAAGTTATCAACCATGAAACATAGTCTGATACAGCAGCAACCTTGGGAAGAGTTGAGGGTTAGATCCAATCCGAAATCCGAAAGCGTGCTGCCGAAACCCGGACAATTTAGATCGTCCATGGTGGAAGCGTGCCAAATTGACGCTGGCAACAAGTGTGTTTACGACAATAAGGGCAGCACTTGTACGAAGCAGCCGACGAGGTATATGTTTTCGAGTGGTAGTAAGAGTTCAAGCAATGGTAATTACAAGCATTTTTGAAAACATAATCGTCTCGTCGCAGTAGCCGCAGCCCTGGCATGATTGTGACCACTATTACCATCACCACTTTTATCACCATGCTTAGCACCACTACCTGTACCATCCATAGCAACAGCACCACGCCCGGCACTGTCGCCGCTATCATCATCACCACCACCGCCACGATCATGGTCGTCGCAGTCGAAGCACGGCTGCATGGCCACCATCAGAATCACAACGGCAACATTTTCCACAGCAACAGCTCTAGCTTCGCCGCCGTTGCAGGTTCCGGTTTCGGCTTTTAACACAATGTATTTAGGGTGCAGGAGCGTGCGGAGTTTCGCATCGAACCAGACTACTTTCTGCTGCTGATGTCTTACAGCTTACAGTTTTATCATCAAAGATGTCACCGAAACACGGTATGGAATCGCAACCCCAAGCCCTAATCCTCAAACCTTACTGTGATTGTGTGGCGGCAGCCCGCGAGGTGCTCGTGCGAACCCGCGACCGCCTTGTGACGTCCTTGAAGAACCTCCGCAGGCATTTAAAGGATCCCAGAATCGGTTCAGGGTTTGGGGTTTAGGGTGGAACTTACAAACGGCTCCCTTCAACAGCAACAGTGGAAGGCAAGGAGACGGCCGGAGGAGGAGGACTAGCAGGAGAGCGATCAGGGAGCAGGCGTCGGAGTAGGTGACGGGGAAGGAGTACCCTACCCTAAACAATCCCTGCAGTGCCCTCTAATTTGCACCTACTCAAGGAACCACCTCCGAACGCTTGTAATATCAGTCTAGAACTGGGTGAGTAGCCCTCCTACCTATGGAACAAGATCTAGGCTGTTGAAGCCCTATGGTAACCCCAAATTTAATGTAAGGAACGAGATCGAGCTTGTCGCCGAGTCTTGGGAGGTCAAGTGCGCCTCTCGGGGTGCTGTGGGAATCTAGGGGTTTAGGGTCTATGGGTTTAGGGTTTAGAGTCGCTGGAGTTGTGGCGGGCCTTGTTTAAGGGACTGTTGGGGTATATACCCTGCTGGTAAGGGTGTATGCAGGATTGCGAGGCTTTAGGATTTTAGGCTTTGCAAGCATGGGGTATGCAGGCCCACTGGGACTCCGGGCTGGCCCATGGTTTCAGGCATAGCCCTAAACCCCAAGCCCGCCGTCTTAGAAGGCTCTGGCCTCATCCTGGGCTATGAGACGCTCGCAGGTACGACAAGCTGTTGAGCTTGTTCGACAAGCTGCAGAAGAAATACGACGAGCTGCCGGGGCCCTGGCTTATGGCTTGGTGTAAGCGCCACACCGAAAAGCCCTAAACCCTAAACCCTGATCGAAATCTTCAACAAGCCCAGGCAGCACAATCTTGAGCCCTCCATCGCAAGCGCAAAATTCACAACCAGCATTTGGAACTGTATGTTTTCAGTCGATTCTGCAGCGCACCTTACTAGAAAACCGATGCAAAAGTGATATAAGTAGTTTGTTTTTTGCCGGATACAAAGACCTCGCCAGGCCTTTCCTAGAATCCAGTACAAGCATGGCCATGATCAGGATCCACCGTGTTCTTTTTGATTTCGGACGTTTTCAGGTTAAGGTACTGGGGAGTTTTTAGTCTTGCATTGGCTCCTTTTTTATACTATGAGGCTAGCGGCTAGAAGTTGTGCAGCAGCCAGATCATTATTTTTGCTCTGAGTTTATGGCGTCAGGCTTGCGGTAAAGTGGCGACACTTTCAAAGGTGCAAAACCTAAAACAGCTTATTCGTCTCTAAGGACTTGTATTGTAGAATTCGTAATGGGGAACCCTCAAAAAGTAGAGCTTCTTGGCTACAGGTGAGTCCCATTCCGTAAGTCCGAGTCGCAGCTTCAAACAAACCTAGGCCAGCCCTGAACCTTACTTGGAGGAGCAAAGGACTTAGTAAGTACAGTTCTAGCTACCTCAATTGGGGTTATAAGTGATTATGGTTGCCTTGTCTATAACCCAAGTGAGTTACTATATTACGTGATCCTTTGAGTAGAGCCCCATTGCAAAACTATTGAAAACCAGGTAGCAATCGGTACAAAACTGTCGGTAGATTCTACAGAACCCTCTTCATTAATAGCTTAGCTACTGCCCCCACTCAGTAACAGTCGGATAACATTCATAATATAGATGTATTAGTACCTTAGTAGTAGCCTTATTATAGACTGTTACTGTATGGGGGGCAGTATCCAATTAATAGCCAATCACCACCCCTAAACCCTAAACCCTAAACCCTAAACCCTAAACCCCTAAACCCCTAAACCCCTAAACCCTAAACCCTAAACCCTAAACCCTAAACCCTAAACCCTAAACCTGGTTGTTCACATGTTTTATAAACGACTAGGCAGTCCCTACGCTCTCTGAGACCGAAACTTCACCACACCCTAATCCCTGCATGCTGAAAGCCCTAAGCTACCCGAAAGCCTACAGCCCAAACCCCATGATACCCGTGTAAAGAACCCTGAAAGGACCCCTTTAAAGGACCGCCTGAAGGAACACTACCCCTGTGAGCCTGAATTGTCGGTAGCAAGAGCGATATCTCTGAGGTTGGGTCCTGGTGGCTTAGCGGAGGCATGGCACTTCTTCAATTCTTCAGGGTTTGAGTTTGGGATTTAGGGTTTTCAGTTTTAATGTTTGGGGTGGTTTTAGCTTTGGGGTTTCAAGGGCTTAGAGGTTGCGGGTTCCGTAGGGGCTGACAAGGATGGTCTCTTGTGGATTGTAGCTGCAACTACAGGTGTTTTTGCACATATTATAGTAGGGTGTCATTCTGGAAATTCGGGTTTTAGGATTAGGGCTTGAGGGCTAAGAGGGTTCAATTGAGCCGCGCTAGGAACCCGACCAGCCCCTCCAGATGCAAGGCAAGTGCAGCAGCAGAGTAAAACATGGTTTAGGGTTTCGGGGTTTAGGGTTTAGGGTTTGGGCTGGAGTTACCCCTCGACGTGTGTGTCATGACCGCAATGACCAGAACCATATGGGTGGTTGTCAAATTTATGGTCCCTTTTTGGGTCCTTATTACAGTACGGCACCTAATATTTATGGCACCCCAAAAAGGGGCCATAGTTTTGACAACTACCTATATGCAAAAGCAAGTCTTGTGGACAACCGTCACGGCCCTAAACCCTACACTTTCAACCCAAAGCTCTCAAGCAAAGACGCTGAACCCCGATCCTCAATGATGTAACCTTATAAGACGCTTAGAGACCCCTTGTCGCACCTGTATAGTATAGACCCTCCATGTGAGAAAGCCTCATGCCCCCCCCGATAATAATATACCCTTATAAATAAGGCCATTATCAAAATCCTTGGACAACTCCTTATAGAAGTAATCCCTTGTCAAGTTTCATGAGAACTTTTTGAGACCGAACTTGCTTTGTAACCTTTACGTAAGGAGCCCGAGCAGCCTTAAATGCCCAACCCTTAGCCGCAAGTCCCACAGAGAGCCCGTGGAGGAGCCCGGAAAAGTGCGAAACCTAAACTGTCTCGACTTTTCGGGAGCCCTTATTGTAGCGCTAAACCCCAAGCCCCTTATCGTAACCCTAAACCCTAAGCCCTTATAGAAACCTTCAGCCCTGACGAGGCTTCGGCGCACTGAAAAAGGAGGGATGCAAGCACAAAAAGAGCCTTTGGCACCCTTGAGCTTTTTCCCTCAAGCTCTAAACCCTAAACCCTACGCCCCAAAACCTTCAGCCCTAAGCCCTCGTAGTAGCTTTACGCCCCTAGACGGACACCCTTAAAGCTCCAGGCTCTGCGGCGTGCGCGTGACCTCAAGGCCACCCCGAAGGGGTTCGGATTGCGGATCTGACCCTAAACCCTAAACCCTGAACCCTAAGCCCTAAGCCTCATAAACCCTTACCTAAGGCTTTGGGTTTAGGATCTCTGGGGCTCCTTTTGAGAGGTTTAGGGTTTTAAGGTCTCGGATCTTTTGGATTCCTGTAAAGGCTTCTCATGAGGGTCGCAATGAGGGTTTCTATGCCGGTTTCTCTTCAGGGTTTCGGGTTCCGGAGTTTGGGGTTTGGGGCTTGGGGTTTAAGGTTTAGTGTTCTTGGGTTTAGGGTTCAGTGTTCTAGGGTTTGGGGTTTAGGGGTTTGGGTATTTCAGGGTTTCTACAATGTCGACTCAGCCGAAAGCTTGATGCCTGAAGGCTCGACGAGCCCCAAGTGCAACAAGATTACACCCTAAAGCCTGCGAGCGGAAATGTTTAGCCCCCTGGCCTTCCCCTTCAGACCAAGAGAGTTAAACGCATCCTCGAACCCTGGATGATGGGACACGCCCCCCAGCCAAAAATCTCAAACCCTGAACCCTAAAGCCCCGAAAACCATAAACCCCTGAACAAAAAGCCTCAATCCTTAAACCCCGAAACTCTGCACCTTTGCTGCTATCATACACCTTACAAGCCCTGGAACCCTGTTAGGAACTCTTACAAAAACCCTTAAGAGTCTTGAACGGAACCCCCCAAACCCTACAGAACCCCTATACTCAAAACGCTCGAACCTGCCTACGAATGCTGAATGCCTGCTTGCCGGAGGAAGAGAATGTGGAGCTGACAAAGCTGACACATGAGCTGAAGGCAGGTGCTTGGTGGTTTAGGGTTTAGGGTTTAGGGTTTAGGGTTTAGGGTTTAGGGGTTTAGTTTAGGGTTGAGATCTAGTGTTTTTCTGGGAGTGTTCAGGGTTCTTTTGCTGCTTTCAGGGTTCAGGGTGACTCTCTAAACCCAGAAGCCTAAACCCTAGACCCTAAACCCTAAGCCCTAAACCCTCAGCCCTTAACCCTAAACTCCAGACGCGAAACCCTAGACCCTTAACTCTAAATACCCTAGACCCTAAACCCCTAAACCCTGAACCCTGGGCCCTAAACCCTGGACCTTAAACCCTAAACCCTAGACCCTAAACCCTAAACCCAAAACCCTAAACCCCTTAACCCCAAACCCCCCAGATCCTACACCCAAAACCCTAGACCCTAAACCCTAAACCCCAAGCCCTTAAACCCTAAACCCCTACACCGCTAAACCCTGAAGCCTTAGGCCCCACGCAGCCCAGATCACAGCTTTCAGCCTAAGAACCTTCCTCGACGGGGGAGACTCTGAAGTTTAGGGTTTAATATAGGGGCTTTAAATAACTACCTATACTATAGGGTTTAGGGTTTAGGGGTTTAGGGGTTTAGGGTTTAGGGTTTAGGGTTTAGGGGTTTAGGGGTTTAGGGGTTTAGGGTTTAGGGGTTTAGGGTTTAGGGTTTAGGGTTTAGGGGTTTAGGGTTTAGGGGTTCAGTCCAGGGTTCAGGGTTTAGGGGTTTAGGGGCTTAAGCAACACCTATACTACCTTTAAGGGGATCCTTAAGGGTTCCTGTAAGGGATCCATCAGGGATCTCTAGGGTTTAGGGTTTGGGATAGGGGCCATAATTACCTATACTATTTTCGAGATTCCTTATTATATTAACAGTATAGTGGGCCCCGAAAACCTATTCTAATTCTTCAGGCCCCCATATTAGGGGTGTTGGAGTCTCTGTGTTCACGGTGCCAGCCATGCCTCTCCTGAATTGGAGGGTGCAAACCCTAATCCCTAAACCCCTAAACCCTAAACCCCTAAACCCCTAACCCCTAAACCCTAAACCCCTAAACCCCTAAACCCCTAACCCCTAAACCCCAAACCCCTAAACCCTGATACAGGCCTACAGTTCATAAAAGCAGGTGACAGACCCCTTGGAGCCTCGTTCTGATGGGGCGGCGGCCGGCGATGGGGCAACCGGCTGCTGCGCTGTGTTGCAGCCGGAACGGTTTAGGGTTTAGGGTTTAGGGTTTAGGGTTTAGGGTTTAGGGTTTAGGGTTTAGGGTTTAGGGTTTAGGGTTTAGGGTTTAGGGTTTAGGGTTTAGGGTTTGAAAACGCCAGATCTGCTGGATGCATGCCACGAGCAGGAGTCATTCTGTGAGTTTGCGGAATTCATACTTAGCCTCCTCTGCCCAACCGCAGACAGCCCTGCACTGGGCTTCATGGTCCGAGGCACGCGCACGCGCACGCGCACACACGCACGAACCCGTAAACCCTAAACCCTGGGTCCCTGGGTGTACATTTAGGGGTTCAGGGCTGAGGCCTCAGAGTTGAAGCTGCAAGGTAGGATGCGAGTTTGGATATCGGAGTACTCTACACCCTTGACACCCCATAACAGGTTTTACCCTAGACTTTAAAGCTTAGGCTCTAAGGACTCACATTTTAAGGCTTTTGGGCCCAAAGATCATACACTATATAAGGCTTTTTGGCCTATTTTGAGCCTTGGGGTAAGCCCTGAGCAGCTCAACTTAGAGCCGCAACTGAGCCCCATGTTAAAATTTTCTTTCCTGATGCCCGTTGCAGGAACGTCAAATTCCGCTTGGTTAGGGCTAAACCCCAAGCCCTAGACCCTAAACATCTAAACCCTAAGCTCCGAACCCTGATCCCTGTTCAGGAGGGCATCAAAGCCCTTCAGAGCCCGCTTACACAGCCTCAACCCTAAACCCTAAATCTTTGCCCTCAGCCCAGAACCCGCGATCCTCATACCGGAACCCCTTTAACCCCAAACTCTTGACCCTAAACCCTGAACCCTAAATCCGGGTCGGTACTTCGAGCTTGAAGCTCGATCCGCAGGCCTAAACCCTAAACCCTAACCCTAAACCCTAAAACCTAACCCTAAACCCCTAAGCCCTAAGCCCTGTACTTCCTTGAAGCTCGATCCGCAGGAGATGATCAAGAAGCAGAAGCGCCAGATCCGAGGCTCCTTGTCAGCCTTGTCCTTTTTCATGTCATGGGTTCCCCCAAAAGATTGAACAGACCGGCTAGTAGACCTTCTTATGAGGGATATGATATAGGTATTGGGCTCTGTCTATTATTTCTAAAAGGACAAGGGTGCTCCTTGTAGAGGTTATGGGTTTAGGATTATGGTTTGCGGATTAGGGTTTAGGGTTTAGGATTTAGGGTTTAGGGTTTTGTAGAGCGACTGGGTTTAGGACTTGGGTTTTGGAGTTATTTGACATGTCGAGCCCCCTGTAACTTGAGGCGTGTTCCTTCAGTGCGTGGCTTCACAAAAACACTTGTACAGAGTTTTTCAAAGCCCATGAGACCCTTAGCGTGACACCAACTTCCTCAAAACCGAGCTATAGGCGCCTTAACAATTACCTATACTAATTTTGGGGTTCCCTAAGACAACTATAGTAGAATGGGACCCAAAACCTTATTCTATTTTTACACCCCTATATTAGCCTGGTTTTGGCGATCTTTCTCTTCAGAGGGCCTTAAACACGAAACAGCTGACCCTGAATCCAACTTTAAACCCCAAACCCCTAAACCCAGACCCTGCAACCTATGCCCTATAAACCCTAAACCCTATAACCCTAAACCCTAAACCCCTCCACCCTAAACCCTAAGCCCTATGAACCCTACAGCCCTGATCCGTGCCAGACCTTCAGCTGGACATTATCCTCATTCCCTTAAGGTAAAGAAGAGGGAATCCTAGCACTAATCATCCTAAATCCATATTCCAACTTTCAGGGTTTCACTATAAATCGTGCCAGACCTTCAGCTGGACATCGACATGCACATGAAGGAGACAGCCGACCTGATCTTGCAGAAGGAGCAGGGCATCGCCGAAATGGCGTTGGCCTTGGAGAAGAACGCTTTCTCCCAGTGCGACATGGGAGTTTCCGAAAATTAGGGGTATCTTTTTAAGGGTCGTTTTAAGGATCCTACTATTAAGGGTGCTATATGAGGGTCCGCTATTTTCGCAAAGTCCCAAATCTCGGTTATGTTTGTAACCCTAAGCCCTGAGCCAGGTTTTGGGGCCACGGGCTACCCTGTAGCTGAAATCCGAAGTTTTGCAGCTTGGGGCTTTAGGGTTTAGGGTTGGGGATGTAGAGTTGAGGGCCAGGGTTTAGGGTGGGATTCGGATGATTGGGGCGCATGGGGTTCAGCAAGTCAAGAGGTTTCCGGAAGTTGTCGCGTTTCGGACGGAGTGATTTGTCTCCCCAACCTGGTGTCCTTATCCCATCTGTCCCTGAGTCCTACATAGCGCAGGATTAGGATCAAGGGTTTGGGATGTTCGGCGATGATGTTTATGATAGTGGTGAAAAGATGAGAAGATTAAGCTGACATTGACTTGATGGCGGCGACAACGAAGCATAAGACGGCTGTTACACTGATGCCATGGATGCTGAGGATGGTGATGATGATGGTTGTGCTGATGATGACGGTGGACGAACATAGCAGTGAATGCCGACGAAGGCTATGATGAGCTTGATGATGACAATGATGGCACAGAGACGATTGCCAAGACGACCACGCTGATGCTGCTGCTGCTGCTCCTGCTGATGATGATGATGATGAGAATGGTGATGGTAGGTTGAAGCTGAAGGAAAGCCATGCTGTTGCCTTGATGACGGTGGCCATCGCATCTGGCTCCGCTCAAGGAGGTGCATATACTCCCGCATGTGTGCCATCAACCCCTCGAAAGGGTTTCTTTTCTTTTGGTGGCACAAAGAAAGACCTTCGCTTCGACCTCCAGCACGGGTTACTTGGTGTCTCACAGACCTCTTCTACGGGCTCCTCTGAGGGTCTCTATACGGGTACATCAATTGGCTGCTCCACAGGCCAGACCTGTGCCGAGCCGTCAGGGCTTTCGGGCACGACGTCCACAAAAATCTGCAGAGATTGTCTGAGTTGCACCCTGCCTTTAAGCTTAAGGCGGTGATGGCGATAGTGTCGATGAACTAGCTTTGCGGGAGGGTTGATGACCTTGCCTATGGTGCGAGGTGGGCAAGAAGCAGAGACATGACCGTGATGTCCTGAACAACGACCGTAGCCTTGTAGATGATGGCAGTGATGATATTCTTATTAGAGACTATTCTGTTCATGGGTTACCGTGGTGGTGAAGCCTACGACACTTGAAGAAGTAGAAGTAAGCATACTGGGCTTCTCGCATGCAATCTAAACTCTAAACCCTAGCACCTTCCAGCACCCCTCAACTATCCTCTGATGTACCTTAAACACTCACAATTAAGGGCCATAGGGACTCTGTTACAGGGTACTTGAAGGGTCCTGGTTTACGAACTCTTATAACAATCCTTGCAGGAGCCCCTAAGGAACCTCTAAGGAACCCTAAACCCCTATAGATACCCTATAGATGCCTTCAAAGGAACCCTTATATAGATCCCTTCAAAGGAACGCCTATATAGATCCTTCTAAAGGAACCCCTATATAGAACACAGAAACCCTTTTTGTGCCTGACCCTTGCAGCCGAGGTCGGCGACTACGCCAAGCTCCAAGCATCCTTCCGCAAGGAGGTGGAGCAGAAGGCGCCCGCTTAGGGTTCAGGGTTTAGGGTTTAGGGGTTTGGGGGTTTAGGGTTTAGGGGTTTGGGGTTTAGGGTTTAGGGGTTTGGGGTTTAGGGGTTTAGGGTTTAGGGGTTTAGGGTTTAGGGGTTTAGGGGTTTAGGGGTTTAGGGGTTTAGGGTTTGGGGGTTTGGGGTTTAGGGTTCAAGGGTTTAGGGGTTCAGGGGTTTAGGGGTTTGGGGGTTTGGGGTTTAGGGCTTAAGGTTGTTGAAATTTTAGGGTTGCTTTTGGGACTTGGCAACTAGGGTTGTAAGGGCTCCTTTTTAGGGTACTAAAGGGTTCTATCATAGGGCTCCCTTTAAGGGTTTGGGGTTTAGGGTTCCTTTATGTAGGGGTTTAGGGGTTTAGGGGTTTAGGGTTCAGGGTTTTGGGTTTAAGGTTTAAGGTTTACGGGTTGGGACTAATACTAAGGTTCAGGGTGTAAGGTTAAGGGTTTAAAGTTCGGGGTTTCAGGGTTCTCAGCAACCCTCACGGGAAACGCCAGTCTGTCATTATTAATGTTTCCGTCGTTTGCCAAGGACTTCATCGTCTTGGGGTTGTGGATCCTGAAACTGGGACGCAAGAATACAATACCTTAGTGCTCCAGAACTCCAACATCAACCGGAGAGTTGGAAAAGGATCATGATGTGAGCCATCGCGGCGAGCTCTCGGAACCATGAGTACATATCTTGACTTGAGCCAATACCATACCTACAAAGTTTCCCGAGCGAGGGTTCCGAAGCCTTAAATCCCGCCGGGCCACACGAAAGAGAAGCCCTCCCTCCGAAACCCTACTTGGAGGTTCATGGGACATAGTAAGTACAGTTATAAGTACCCTAATTGGGATTATAAGTACATAGAAGTGTAGTTACCCTAGTTATAACCCTAGTTACTAAGTCCCATGAACCTCTAAGTAAACCCTGAACCCTAAACCCCATAGATCCCTTCAAGGAACCCCTATAGATCCCTTTTAAGGAGCCCCTTAAGGAACCCTAGTTACTAAGTCCCATGATCCTTTAAGACGACCCAAACCCTAAACCCTAAACCCTAAACCCTAAACCCTAAACCCTAAACCCTAAACCCTAAACCCTAAACCCTGAACCCTAAACCCTAAACCCTTAAACCCCAAACCCTAAACCCTTAAACCCTGAACCTTAAACCCTAAACCCTAAACCCTAAACCCTGAACCCTAAACCCGGAGGAGAGGATCACGATCGAGCTTACCGAAGAGAAGCGAGCCATCGTCGCCTCCTTCTCCGTTGGGGGCCCTGGGCTCGAAGCCTTAGGGTTTAGGGTTTAGGGTTTAGGGTTTAGGGTTTAGGGTTTAGGGTTTAGGCACCCAAAAAGCGCAAAAGCAGAAGCATTTTATGGGGATATCCCTACCTTATTGGCCTTCCTTGTAAGGGGGTTTATATGGGATATGCCTATCCTAATGTTTGCTTATGTGCTGTTCGTGTTGAACCCGTGTCGATTATGGGAGTTTCCGAAAAAAGGGGACCCTAACATAGTACCCTGAACAGTAGGATCCTTATTATAAGGACCCCCCAAAAAGGTACTCCCATATCTTCTTTCAGAGTGCCCTAACATGTTGTTGTCGTTTCCAGCCTTAGACGGGCCCTTCCAGCTTCAAGCTCTCCTCGTGCAGTTTGTGTGGTCCCCGGAGCCGCTAGACACCCTCGATGCAGCAATCGTCGTCGTCGCCTGTGCATCTGGCAGAAGTGTAAGAAACTCAGGGGTCAGCGATCAAACTGGAGCATCCCTTGGGTCCTAGTCCTAAGCAGCCTAAGCCCGATCCTGAGTATCCCGTAGTATTGACCCTAATTTGTCCCTCGTAGACTAAAAAGGACACCTTTTCGGAAGCCTCAGGTTCTTTTTGTGAGCTGTTAGAGGCCACCAACCGTAAACCCTAAACTGCCCTAAACCCCCACAAAGAAAGCCCAAGGCGCGCATCGAGCAGCTCGAGCAGCTAGTGGAAGCGATGCGCTTCACAGATCGCGAGGCAACCCCGGGGCCAGGCTAAGCTGGCAAAAGTCCTACAATAGGGAATACAGCAACCCTATAGCCTATAGTCCTACAATATACTAACCAGTATAGATCCCTTATAATTAGTAAGCCTTAAGGCTAAGCTGCCAAGGATTGAAGGTTTTGGGGAGCGTATAGGGTTTAGGGGATTTATCGTTTAGGGAGTTTAGGGAGCTTAGAGGGTTTCGGAGGCTTATCGTTTAGGGAACTCAGGGAGCTTATAGGGTTTAGGGGGTTTATCGTTTAGGGAGTTTAGGGGATCATTGTTTATGGAGTTTAGGGGGTTTAGGGGTGTGATTGTGCCGATACGGTTTGTAGTTGCGGGTTCAGTGGTAAATGTGCGCGTAGGATTGAGAGGAGACTGACTTCGGGTATCGAGGGTTCAGTGTTCGGGGCTTAGCCCTGTGGATTCTCTCAAATTCCATGTCTAGGGTGTAGAGCATATAGGTTTAGGGTTGAGGAAATGCCACACACTCTAATTCCAGGAGCTCGTGAACACCATCGACGTGTGGAAGCGCGCCTACGAGAGGATCTGCATCGCGCGAGATGAGATGGAGGCAGACCTCTTGTGGCTGCGGTAAGGACTAGGTTTTGATGGCTCCTTCCGGATGAGGTTTTGAGGGCTCCTTCATATCGACCGTGTACCATTATGGGGTTGTTGAACCTTTAAGGTTCCTTTTGAGGTAATATACGGGCCTTAATAATTGCCTATACTAGTGGGGATTCCTTATTATAGTTATATTATAATGGGCACCAAAACCCTATTCTAAAACCAAGGCCGGTCTATATTATCTTGTCCGTCCGCCAGAATTTAGATAGAAATGCAAGCTGCCTTTCGGGGCCTCGAGGCTTGCTGAGTTGCAGTTGGTCTTGTACCGCTATAAGATACTACTTCATCTTATTATATTATGTTACAGTATGTTATACATTATAGTACATCATCTGGTATGATATGACATTTTAGTATTTTGTATGATATTAGCACAGCTGCACTCTGTACTACTTAGGGCTCATGGGTAGCCATCAATGTGGTATCGGGGGCCTTAAACTCCTGAACCCTAAATCTCAAAGCGCTGTGCAGTGTACTTATCCGGGTTTAGGGTGTCGGGGTTCAGGCTTTAGGGTTTAGGGTGCAGTATGCTTATCCAAAGACAAGCCTCAGAGTTATAGTCCTCAAAAAAATCGTAAAGATATCCTTCAAACCCCGACTGTAACCGGTAAACCCCTAAACCCCAAGCCCTGGAGCCCCTGAAGCCCTGGAGCCCCTGAAGCCCTGGAGCCCCTGAAGCCCCTTAGGCCCTAAACCCGAAGCCCTAAGCCCTACTGCAACCGCTAAGCCCTGAAGCCTTGCAAGTCTTAAGCCCCAAAGTACACCCTAAACCCTAAACCTTTTTAGATCCCTTAAAGGAACCCTATAGATCCTGCAAGGAGCCCGACAGATCCCTTTAAAGGAGCCCTATGGATCCCCTTAAAGGAGCTCTTTAAGGATCCCCTCAAGGAGCCCTAGAAATACCTTTAAACGCGCCATTTGGATCCCCTTAAAGGAGCCCTTTATAGATCCCCTTAAAGCAGCCCTGTAAGCCCCTTCACGGAACCCTACGGTGGCGGCCAGGAAGACTTCGAGTCTCAGCTGGTGATGAAGGACAAACAGCTGAGGCCCGCAAGCCCGGAACCCGACAGGTTCTTCGGTTTAGGGCTTAGGGGTTTAGGGTTTAGGGTTTAGGGTTTAGGGGTTTAGGGTTTAGGGTTTAGGGTGGTTTAGGGCTTAGGGTGTAGGGTTCCAAACTCCTAACTCCTACTTTGCTATGGCTTTGAGGGCACATTTGCAGGACTTAGGATCTATGGTTTACGTTATGTCTATGTTCCAACCCCACGCACTGTAAACCCCTCACGCCGGTTAAACTGAAATAAGCGTATGCATTGGGCCAGAAAGTCGTACTAGTACCCCCTTCTATGTTAACACTACTGTATCATATGCCCCAGGACCTTGTTTTGCTTAGGAAGGCAGCTAATGTGGGAACCTGATAAGGGAACCCTGGGGCTTTCTTGAGGTTCTTACTACGGAACCGGTTCCTCCCCGCAATGCGCAGGGAGCACACTCCAACAGGGCAGTCGGCGGTTGGGCCATCTGTGCATGAGCTGAAAAGTGTAGATAAGCACTGGCGCCCGACACTTCTGCATTGCATGGTCTGGCGGCTGGAGGCCACTATCCATGCTGGAGGCGGCTTTCAAGGCAATTGAATCCCCGATCACGGCGCGGCTCAGCCCGCTCAGGTCTGTGTGGCTACCCGACGAGCCGTACAGCGCTCTGAACCGCGCATATGTTCGAGGAGTTGCTGCTGCTGCTGAGGTCCTGCAGGGGCGTTCCGGATTCGGTGCGGCGCCTTCACCAGTCCCTGTTTTCCGGTTCTCGGGTATGTGGGGGTCCTTAAAGGGCTCTATAAGGGTTTAGGGCTTTAGGGTTTTAGGGTTAGGCTTTTATGGTTTATGGGTGCAGGTTGGCCTCACTCTTTTGAGCTTATTGAGTCCGGGTTTCTTAATCAGGTTCCGGCATTATGTGGCTCTCCAACCTTCCGTGAGCTTAGGCAGCTCTTGGCGGAGGCTCTAGGACTGTACCGTAACGGGTCCAGGGTCTAGGGTTTTAGGCTTCTAGGGGTTTAGGGGTTTAGGGTTTAGGGTTATTCTGAGTTCCGTATACTTGAAGGATCATGGGACCGAGTATTTTTCTTTCATGACCCACATTGAGGCACTTACAAGTCTACTTACTAAGTCCCATGACCCTTCAAGTTTGAGCCCGAAGCAGAGATTCTACTTGGAGGTGCAGGGGACTTAGTAAGTCATTTATAAGTAGGGTTATAAGTGGGGCCCCTCCGTTTAGGCTACTTATAACTCTACTCATAACCTACTTCCTAAGTCCCCTGCCCCTCCAAGTAGACCCTAAACCCTAAACCCCATAGATCCCTTTAAGGAACCCTTTAGATCCCTTTAAGGAGCCCTTACCTAAGCCCCCTATAGATCCCTTAAAGAGCCCTTGAAGGAGCCTCTTGAGGGTCCCATGATCCTCCAAGTTGGAGCCCCTTACAGAAGAAACCCGGAAAGAGACACTGACAGTCCTTGAAGTAAGGAGTATATAGGGGCGTGGAGAAGTACTCATAAAATTTGCACGAAAGTCATGTTCTGATTGTTAGGGCCCCTGTATCTTGGGGCTTTGGGTCATTGGTTTTTGGTGTTCCAGTGTTCGGGGCTTAGGGTTTCGAGGTTTGAGAATTAAAGGCTGTGAGGGCCACATAACTAGGATGCCCAGTAGTACCCTTATTCCCTTTTTGTAGTCCCAGGTTTCACCCAATACCAAAAAGAGAGGCCTTTTTATTCTTAGGTTACTGGGTATCCTAGTAACCGAAGCCTTGATTCTTAAACTCCATTCCCGAAAACCCCCTAAGCCTACAGCCTCAAGCTTTGCTTGCAAACCTTCCAAGGAACCTGTCCAAAAAAGGAGCCCTTAAAGGAACCCTCAAAGGATTCCTTAAAGGAACCCTCAAAGGATTCCGTAAAGGAGCCCTCAAAGGATTCCTTTAAGGAACCCTCAAAGGAATCCTTTAAGGAACCCTTAAAGGAATCCTTGTAGGAACCCTTGAAGGAACCCTTATAGGAACCCTTGAAGGAACCCTTCAAGGAGCCGGTAAAGGAACCCTTATAAGAAGCCTTGAAGCCTCAACCGGACCCTTGACCCTGCGCCTGCAAAGCCGACAGCCCGAAACCGCAGCTGTGAAGGAAGATGGCCTTGGACAGCGCAGAGGACAGGTTATATAAGTTATAGGTACATGGTTATAAGTATGTATGTATATATGTATACATATATGTATATATATATATGTAAGGATGTTTGTTTACATACATATATATACATATGTATACATGCATATACACGTACATGCAAGGATGTACGTGTATCACTGTATCACCAGTGTTAGTTTTCATATTGTGTTTGTGTTTGTGAGATAAGGTTTTGACATCTTTGGGCTTTATAGCCTCTGCAGTCGTTGGTTCCATGCAGTGTAGTAGTAGTAATAGTAGCAGCAGCAGTAGCAGCAGTAGTAAGTAGTCGTCGTCGTAGTCGCAGTGGTAGTGGTGGTAGTGGTAGTGGTAGTGATAGTGGTAGTGGTAATTAGTGGTATTGGTAGTGGTAGGTGTAGTAGTGGTAGCAGCAGCAGCACCAGCAGCAGCAGCAGCAGCAGCAGCAGCAGCAGCAGGAGTAGTAGTAGTAGTAGTAGTAGTAGTAGTAGTAGTAGTAGTAGTAGTAGTAGTAGTAGTAGTAGTAGTAGTAGTAGTAGTAGTAGTAGTGGGCGGTAGTGGTACTAGTGGTGCTCGTGGTACTAGTGGTGCTCGTGGTACTAGTGGTACCAGTTGTACTAGTAATGTTAGAAGTGGTAGTAGTAGTTGTGTAGTACCAGGAGTAGGAGTAGGAGTAGGAGTAGGAGTAGTAGTAGTAGTAGTGGTAGTAGTAGTAGTAGTAGTAGTGGTAGTAGTAGTAGTAGTAGTAAAAATAATAATCACAGCAGTAGTAGGGAGCAGAAGTAGGAGTAGGAGTAGGAGTCGCAGTCGCAGTCGCAGTCGCGGTAGCAGTAGCTGCTCCCAAATCCGACCCGTACAGCCTGAAACCCTTCTCGCCAAAACTGAAACCTCTCAAACCCTACAACCCCATGAAGCCTCATAAGCCCTCGATATCCTATAGTTGCATCAAGTCATAAGCCCGGACCTAGTAGTAGAATAGGTAACTCTTAGCCTTGTTTGGGTAGTATAGTCCCTATATAACCACAAAGGTTAAGCTTTAGTTCCCCATGATACCCGACAAGTAGGCGGATAAAACTCAATACGTCCGCATCAAGGCCTGGACAAGCCCAAGGCCGCCGTTGCAGCGCCCGAGATCCTAAACCCTAAGCACTAAGCCCCTAAACCCCCAAACCCCTAAACACCCAAACCCTAAACTGCGTAGAGCGCCGCTGACCATTTGCATGGGCGCTCGAGGCTCCGACCAGGCTCCCTGCGAGCTGCGAAAGGAAGCAAACAGCAAGAAAGCCCCCCCTTGAGGGGGGTTTGGGGGGTGAACTCTAAACCCCAGTTGCGAATAGTTGGGGTGGTTCGGCCGGGACTACATTGACGCAAGCGCTCTATAAGTGGGTGCGCCCCTATTCCTAAAGTAGAAGGCGCACCCACCGTGTGCATACTGTTATACACCCTAAACCCTAAACCCCTAAATCCGAAACACGAGACCCTAAACCCTAAACCCTAAACCCTTAAACCCTAAACCCTAAACCCTAAACCTTAAACCCTAAAGCGCAAGGAGAGGGAGGCTGTGAAGAAGGAGATCGAAAGCTGGAAGGAGAAGGTTCTGCAGGCACCTGGAGATTTCATAGGGTAACTCGTGCTCAGGGTGTAGGGTTTAGAGGTTTTAAGAGTCTTCAGGGACTGGATGTGTTTTTTTGGGCTTTGGAAGTTTTGTTTGTAGTGTGCTATTGGTGTTTTGATAAGGGTTTCATAGTGTTCTATAGATGTTTTTGATGAGGGTTTCAATCGTGTCGTATAGGTTTTGTCAGCAATTCATATGGTTGCCAGGCGAGTTCCAAAAAAGGTTCTCAGGGTTGCTGTCAGGCTTACTACAAGGGTGTGGGGTTCATTTGAAGGTTCTGGTGAGTGTACATAAGGCTCCTTGATATTGGTGACGGTGTATCTTGGCTTCAGTGGGTGTCTCGTGGAGTTTTCTTTGGGGGTCGTGTTGTAAGGTTGTGTAGGGGTCTTTCGGTTTGGGCTTAGAATTTCCGCTTCAACTGTAGCTGCTTAAGTCGTAGCTTGCAATATTAAGCACGACGCAATGGTAGCCCGCAGCAAGAAGAACTCAAACCCTAAACCCTAAACCCTAAACCGTAAAGGATCCCAGTTTTTCAGCCGCCCGCGCATTTTTGCTGCTTGGGTTTCGGCCTTTGAACCATGGCCATGTGGGTTCGGGGCTTGGATGCAAGGGTAAAAGGAGGGACCCTTAATACGGACCCCTAGGTATATACCCTAAAGACAGCTATTATATACCCATTATATAGCCCATTATAGGGCAGGGGTCCCCATTAAGGGTCCCTCCTTTTCCCCCTTTGATTGGAGGTTTAGAAGTTGAGGGATCAAGCGTTCAGAGATCGTATCCCACGCCCTTCACACCGAGATCAGGGTTCAGGCTTTAGTCAAAGGGGAAAAGGAGGGACCCTTAACGGGGACCCCTACCCTATAATGGGCTATATAATGGGTATATAATAGCTATAGTAAGGGTATATACCTAAGGGTCCTTATTAAGGGTCCTTCCTTTTACCATTGGATTTAGAGTTCAAAGGTGTCGGGGTGAAGCCTGTCCATTGAACCTAGGAGTTAGGGTTCAGGGTTCAGGGTTTAGGGTTTAGGGTTCAGGATTTAGGGGTGAAGCCGATCTACTGAACCTAGGGGTTAGGGTCTAGGGTTCAGGGTTTAGAGTTCAGGGGTGAAGCCTATCTTCTGAACCTAGGGGTTAGGGTTTAGGGTTCAGGGTTTAGGATTTAGGGGTGAAGCCTATCTACTGCATCTAGGGGTTAGGGTTTAGGGTTCAGGGTTTAGGGTTCAGGGGTGAAGCCTTTCTTCTGAACCTAGGGTTAGGGTTTAGGGTTCAGGGTTTAGGGTTTAGGGGTGAAGCCTATCTACTGAACCCCAGGTGGAGGAGGAGTGGAAGTTGAAGATGGTGCCCCTGCATGTGCAGAAGGATGAGGCAGGGCGTGCTGGAGTTTACTTGGAGGATCAAGGGACTTGGCAAGTAAGGTTATAGGTGTCGTGATGCGGAACCTGAATGCCGGAACCCAAAACCCCTAAGCACCCAAACCCCCTCAAATCCCTAAACCCCTGATTCCCTGCAGCCCCAAACCCCTAAACCCTTACACCCCCAAACCCATGAACCCTAAAGCCCTAAGCAACAATACTTCTTCGTTATTCCCGCATCGCTGTGTATGGTAGGTTCAGAATGCTATCCGAAGCAGCGGGCTGAAGGCATCAGAAAAAGCACTTCTCACAGCATGTCCTAGCCGGAGCCATGCTCTTCCTACTCGAACCTTCGGGTTTAGGGTTTGGGGTTCAAGATCTGGGGTCTGGATCATCGTGGCTGCGGGACATTTCATAAACTCTTTCCAACCCCAGAAAACCGTGAACCCTAAATCCTAAACCTATAGACCCCGAACCCTAAGCCTTGAACCCTGTACGCTAAGCCCTAAACCCATAGACCCTGAACCCTCAACCTTACATCTCATTTATCCCTGCATCAGTTGCAAGAATTGTAGTCCAAACCCGTCATTTAGACAGTCTTATTCGCACGATGGCGATTTCTGTGGAAGTCGGACTGCTCAGTGGCAAAACAGCGACTCTCAAAGCAGACTTGGATGAAGAGGTGGCAGATCTGACACTTCGGGCACAGGCGGCACTAGAAGTCGGCAAAGGTCAGCTGGTGGGCCCATCTGGAAGCTTCCTGGATGCATGTTCAACTATACAGGATGTCAAGCTTCAAGACGGTGACTCGCTGACCTATCACGTATGCAAACTTCAAGTAAAAGCTTCTCTTCAGGCTGTTGCGGCCATTCTTGGCGATGGATCGGTTGTGACGTGGGGTGATGCTGACGCTGGTGGCGACAGCAGCGCTGTACAGGATCAGCTGAAGAATGTGCAGCAGGTCCAAGCGTCTGAGGTTGCTTTTGCTGCCCTTTTGAGCGATGGATCGGTCGTGACATGGGGTGATGCTGACTATGGTGGCGACAGTAGTGCTGTTCAGGAGCAGCTGAAGAACGTGCAGCTGATCCAGGCGACTTACGGCGCTTTTGCTGCCATTGTAGGTGACGGTTCCATCGTGACCTGGGGTAATGCTGAGGACGGTGGTGACAGTAGTGCTGTGCAGGAACAGCTCAAAAACGTGCAGCAGATCCAAGCCAATTACCGTTCTTTTGCTGCCATTCTCGGCGATGGATCCGTCATGACCTGGGGTGGCTCGGATTGTGGTGGTAACAGTGGTGCTGTGCAGAGTCAGCTGAAGAACGTGCAGCAGATTCAAGCCTCTTTGTCTGCCTTTGCCGCCATTCTTCAAGATGGTTCCGTTGTCACCTGGGGTGATGCCAACTCTGGTGGTGACAGCAGTGCTGTGCAGGAGCAGCTGAAGAATGTGCAGCAGATCCAGGCCACGATCCGCGCTTTTGCGGCCATTGTTGGTGACGGATCCATCGTTACCTGGGGTGATGCTAGGTGGGTGGTTGTCAAAATTAGTGTCCTTTTTTGGGTACCCTAGATATTCGGTGCCGTCTGATAATAAGGACCCAAAAAGGGACCCCTAACTTTGACAACTGCCCAGGTGTGGTGGCGACAGCAGCGGTGTGCAGGATCAGCTGAAGAATGCGCAGCAGATCCAACGCTGCAGCGACGTTCATGGAGGCGCTTTTGCTGCCCTTCTTGGCGACGGGTCCGTCGTGACCTGGGGTGAAGCTGAGTATGGCGGTGACAGTAGCGCTGTGCAGGATCAGCTCAAAGACGTGAAGCAGGTTACGGCCTCCAGACGCGCTTTTGCAGCTATTCTGAGCGACGGATCCGTCGTAAGCTGGGGTGAGGCTGACTGTGGTGGCGAGAGCAGTGCTGTGCAAGAACAGCTGAAGGGCGTGCAGCAGATCCAAGCCTCTTGTTCTGCTTTTGCCGCCATTCTTCAGGATGGATCGGTGGTCACATGGGGTGATGAAGGATGTGGTGGAGACTGTAGCGCTGTGCAGGGTCAGCTGAAGAATGTGCAGGAGATCCACGCATCTGACTACGCTTTTGTTGCCGTGCTTGGTGACGGGTCCGTTGTGACCTGGGGTGATGATAATTTAGGCGGTGACTGTAGTGCTGTGCAGGAGCAGCTCAAGAAGAGCAGCATCGCACGCGAGGTTGCCGCTGCGGCTGCCAAGCGAGCTGTTAAAAAGTTCGTTCTAGCAGCAGCACAGCAACAGAAGAATGTGTAGCGGACCTACTTCTGCCGTGTTCATTCTACCATGTTTGTTTCACCCTTCAACTCTCTGCAGTTCCTTGGTTTGTAGTGCCAGATGTGGCTAAGCCACAAGGGCGCAGCGTCAAGACAGCGACCAAAAGTTATCATTTGGAACGGTTTGGGATTTCGGTTTGAGGGTTCTTCTCCTTACACAAATCCAGTGTTCTGAGTCATTCGGACTCTGGCGCTTCAGGTGGGTGCAAGGACAGTAGTCTGGTCGGAGAGGTTACTTCGAGCCCTTTTCTGCAGGCAGTGGTAGTAGTGGTGGTGGCGGTGGTGATGGTGGTGGTGGTGGAGCTCCAATTCAATCGCATATTCAAAACCCCAAGATGCAGATACAAAGGCCAGATTGACAACGATGACCTGGACCTTACTTGGAGGATCGGGGGACTTCTAGTATGTGCAGTGGTTAGTACATTAACTAAACCCTGAACCCTAACCAACAACTAACTGTAAGGATGGCCACCTTGTTTATAACGCTAGTGACTACGCCCCATGAACCTTCAAGCAGGTCCTAAGCACTGAACCTTACAGGGAACCCTATTATAGAACCTCTTGGGACCCTTGAAAGAACCCTTTTATGGAACCCTTTGTTACTAAGTACCATGCACCCTCAAATAGAAGTTCTAAGCCATTGAAGAGCCCATTTTTTAATTCAGGAATATGCCGTAAATCATAGTAGGACACCTAATATGATTTATGGAATATTCCTTCACTCCCTTCTAGAATCCTCATAGATCCCTTTAAGGAACCCTTAGGTATACTCTTTAACTCAGGGCTCTTTGGAGTCTCCGGGAGCCTTGTGCTCCCGATCCGAAACCGACTACGCTTCCCCAGCTCACCACTCACCTCTGCACCCCCAACCCTTAGGCTCTAAGGACGTGCTGCGGTACACTTGGGTAAGGGCTCCTTAAAGGGATCTAAAGGGTTCCTTAAAGGGATCTATGGGGTTTAGGGTTTAGGGTCTACTTGGAGGGGCAGGGGACTTAGGAAGTAGGTTATAAGTAGAGTTATAAGTACCCTGAGTGGAGTTACCCCAAGTATAACCCTACTTATAACCTACTTGCTATGTCCCCTGCCCTTCCAAGTAGGCTCTAAGGGCTCATACCCTAACCTTAGGGTTTAGGGTTTAGGGTCGAAGGTTTAGGGTCTAGGGATATTTTAAGGCTTTTGGGCCCAAAGGCCATACTGTAAGGCTTGTGGGCTGTTTTGAGCCCTAGGGTAAACTTCAACTCCAGACCCCCAAACCCCAAGCCCCCAAAACCCTAAACCACGAACCCCTAAACCCCTAAACCCCTAAACCCCTAAACCCCTAAACCCTTAAACCTTGAACCCTGAATCCCACACTCTTCTTCGCA